TTTTTTAAAAGTCCCTTATTTTAAAAACTATTTATATTTTCCTATTCATATCATGGTAGCTCTTTTTCAAGAAACCAAACTATATGAAGGACAGTTACAATTCATCTTTTTTCCTTTTTTTTTTAATTTTTATTTATTTATGATAGTCACAGAGAGATAGAGAGAGAGAGGCAGAGACACAGGCAGAGGGAGAAGCGGTTCCATGCACCGGGAGCCTGACGTGGGATTCGATCCCGGGTCTCCAGGATCGTGCCCTGGGCCAAAGGCAAGTGCCAAACCGCTGCGCCACCCAGGGATCCCCATCTTTTTTCCTTTTAAGTAGAATACTGCATATATGCAAAACAGTGTTACTGTTTAACACTTCCTAGTATTACTGGAAGAAGAAAAGTTTAAAAATATAATAGTCATGAACTTGCTACTCAACCCTGGAATTGCAGCATTACCGATAACTTGGCAATCTAACTTTGTATCTTCTTTTCTACCCCTCTGCTTCATGCCAAGAGATAAACACTATTTAGAATTTTGTGTTCATCATTCGTTTGCTAGATATCTGCTGCCTTAGTCTTTTTTTTTTTTTTTTTTGCCATTGGCTGTACACTTTGGGAAGCAGTAAGTTTTCAAGAAAAACTGAAAATTTGCTTTTGTTTTTGGAGAATGTAGAAGTCTTAGGTAAATGATTAGTGTAGTATTCTATATGGCCACCATATTCTAGTAAAAGAAGTTTAGAAAATAAGATCTACTTTAGACATCTAACAATCTTTCTGGACCTGTTTTGTCTTCTGTAAAGTAAGAGAGTTGTAGATAATTTTTCTTTTTTAAAAAGATTTATTTATTTACTCATGAGAGACATAGGGAGAGGCAGAGACACAAGCAGAGGAAGAATCAGGCTCCTCGCCAGGAGCCTGATGTGGGACTTGATTCCGGATCCCGGGATCACGCCCTGAGCCGAAGGCAGATGCCCAGCTGCTGAGCCACCCACGCGTCCCCAAGTTGTTGTAGATCATTTTAAAAAGATGCTTCAGATAGTAAATTTTTGCTATTATTTTTGTTTTTATTACTCTTTTATAGTTTAGGAAAGCTGAAAATTTATTTTGCCCCAGAGTTTTCTTTGCTTCCTCTTAAATACCTACTCACAGGTTATCATAATAATTATTTGATAGAGTTTGAATTTTAGTTAATGTGTGGAGACATTTGCAATTTCACTTCCCCCCTTTGAAATATGTTTGATAAATCAAAAGTAATGTATATAGCTTACGTTTTTTACATGAAATAAAACAATCATAAGTGAATACCCATGAATACCTTTCTAAGTTGTGTTATTTATTGTTATATAATAAATTATTCAAAAACTTCGTGGATTAAGACAATAAACAATTATTATCTCACATAGTTTCTGGGGTCAGGAATCTAGAATGACTTAGCTGGGAAGTTGTGGGTCTCTAGTGTCTAGTGAGGTTTTAATGAAGATGTTTGCTGAGACTCCAGTAATATGAAAGCTTGGCTGGATTGGAGCATCCATTTCCAAGCATGTGGATGACTGTTAATAAGATGCCTTCTTTCTTTCCTAGCTGTTTTCTGGAGGCTTCAGTTCTCAACTTGCTGGCCCCTCCATAGGACTGCTCTTAATATGGCAGCTGGCTTCCCCCAGAGCTAATAATTGGAAAACAAGAGCAACAGCCGCCAAAACAGAAGATACAATATCTTCCATAACTTAACTTTTATAAGTGAGATACTATCACTTCTATCCTACCAGTCACACAGACCAATTGTGGTACACTGGTACACTGTGGGAGGGGAACACAAAAAAGGAGTGAATGAGTAGGTGGAGATCCCTGGGCTCATCTTGAAGACTAGCTGTCACCCTCAAACTAGAGCATTACAAATAACTTGCATCTGTCTTTTGTTACCTGTTCATCCGACTTCCTTTGACTCCCCCAAGGGGTAACACTTAAAGAAAATGTTTGGTTTTCTTTCCCTTATCCTTTTTTTTAAAAAAAGTAATAAATACATGGCTAAATACTTTATAGTTCGGTTTGTTTTTGATCCTCATGATATAATATATTATTGACGATACCCCTTGTGGTCTACATTTCTTCTCCATGGCTTATTTATTTTATAACTAGAGGTTTGTATCTTTATCCTCTTCACTATTTTGCCTATCTCCCTGTAGTCCTCCCCTCTGGCAATGACTGGTTTGTTCTCTGATATTTATGAGTTTGTTTCTGTTTGTTTTTGGTTGTTTGGTTGGGTTTTTAGATTCCACATGAATGAAATCATACGGAAATTTGTCTCTGACTTAACTTCACTTAGCTTACTATATTCTGGGTCTCTTGATGTTGTTACAAATGGCAGGACCTCATTCTTTTTTGTGGTTAAGTAATATTCCATTGTAGATATATACCGCATATTCTTTAACCATTCATTTATTGATGGACATTTGGGTAGCTTCCATATCTGGGCTATTGTAAATAAAGCTGCAATAAACATAGAGGTACATCTATCTTTTTAAATAACTGTTTTTTTTTCTTTGGATTGATACCCAGTAGTGGAATTACTGGATCATATAGCATTTCTATTTTTAATTTTTTTGAGAAACCTCCTTACTGTTTTCCACAGGGACTGCACCAGTTTACATTCCCACCAGCAGTGCATGAGGATTTCTTTTTCTCCACATCCTCCCCATTATTTGTTATTTTTTGACCTTTTGATACTAGCCATTTCTGACTGACCTGAGGTAAAAGCTCATTGTGTTTTGATTTGCATTTCCCTGATAATTAGTGATGTCGAGCATCTTTTTATGTGTCTATTGGGCGTCTGTCTGTATGTCTTCCTTGGAAAAATGTCTTCAGGTCCTCTGCCCATTTTTAATCTGATTATTATTTGTGTGTGTGTGTGTGTGTGTGTGTGTGTGTGTGTGTGTGTGTTGGGTTGTGTAAGTTCTTTATATATTTTTGGATATTAACCCCTTAATTGGATATGTCATTTGCAAATATCTTCTCTGATTTAGTAGACTGCCTTTTTGTTTTGTTCATGGTTTCCTTTGTTGTACAAAAGCATTTTATTTTGGTGTAGTTCTAGTAGTTTATTTTTGCATTTATTTCCCTTGCCTAAAGAGATATATCCATAAAGTTATTGCTAAGGCTGATGTCCAACAGGTTACTGAATGCTTATTTCTTTTCTTTTGATGGTACCTTAAATGATGTGCTGACTCCTATTTTGAACGGTGTAAGGATTCAAGAACACTTTAAACCTAGTCATCCATTTTCTGACTCGTGTGTTATTACTTTCTGTTATTGTAGTTTTCTTTTTTAAACTCTTAAATTAGATATTATAGTCATTATTTTTAAAGGCTTTATATATTTGAGAAAGACAGAAAGAGCACGCACATGTGGGGAAAGGGGCAGAGGAGGAAGGAGAAGCAGACTCCCCGCTGAGCAGGGATCCTGATGCGGGGCTGCATCCCAGGACCCTGAGATTATGGCCTGAGCTGAAGGCAGATACTTAACCCACTGAGCCACCCAGGCACCCCTACCTTGTTATTATTTTATATGGAAAATATTTTTTAGACTTACATATGTTTATCATTTTTTATATCTTTTACCATCTCCTTTGGGTTATTTTCCACCTCCTTAGAATATGCCCTTTAGAAGTTTCTTTAGTCTCTGTTTTTTATATATTCTCTCACTTTTTTTTTAAATCATATACATATTTATTTCATTTTCCTTCTTGAAAGACCATTTTTCTGGGACTACAATTCTAGACTGATTGTTATTTTCTCCCAACATTTTTGATGAATCTGTTCCACTTGCTTCTGATTCTAATAGTTGTTGAATCATCGTTTTTTTAATAGAGGTTTACTCTTCTCTCTGGTGCTTTTAAGATCATGTTTTCCTCTTCTGTGTTCTATTCTTTCATTGATATATCTGGGCATGCATTTCTTTTTATGTGTCTAGCATGTTCAGCTTATTACATTGATTTCTTGATCTGTTGATTCATGGTTTATATTTTTTAACTTTATAAGTTCCAGGAAAATTTTGGCCTTCATCTTTCGAGGCATTATTCTTCTGCTCTCTTCTTTCTATATGTCAGTTAGATGTATGGTAGACCTAATTCTGTCCCTTTTCTTTTTTCTTAACTTCTCTTAAATTTCTCTTACCTTCTCTTTAATATTTCTCTGTTCTTGTTTCTTAAGTTGTTTTGAATATTTCATCAACTGTGACTTTCATTTCATTAATTCACTCTTTATGTGTGTCTGATTTATTACTATGTAACATATTTAAAATTTTTTTTTTCCTTTCAGTAGGTCTTCCTTTCCCCCACTTTCAGATCTGCTCTCCCTATTTACTCTTGACAGTTTCTTTGTGGTTTGCTTAGCATTGTGATTATATTCTTTATTTTTTGAATGTGTAATTAGCTTTCGTATGTGTTATATTTTAAATGCCAATATCTCTGTCTCACTGTAGTTTAAATCTGTTTGTTTCTTTTGATTTTCACTCGTGGTTTTCCTTCATTTATTCTTGGTGATTTTTAATCATGAGCCTTTTGTCTCATCTTAATCTATGTTGATTCTGCATTATGAAATGGTAGTGTTTTATTTAGAGAGGATTTGTCTTTGCTACTGCTGGTAAACAGCAAAATAGTTTTGGGAATGAATGGCACTTCAGTTCTTCATATTAGAAAGAGTTTTGCTCACCAGTTATTGCCAGGGCAACTCTAACTTGTCTTCCCCTGAATAGTGTGTTACCATTCTTGGAAAGGCATATCTGTTGCCTTCAAAGTTAGAAGCTTGAGGGAACTTCTGGAATGTCTCCATTGGGATGTGATAGTTATTCCAAAAGCTTTGAGTGTTAGAGTAATTATATAGATCTAATTTTGTTTTTACTTATTTAAAAAGTCCCTGAGTTACCTATAATTTGTAAGTAAGGAATTTTCAGAAAGCAAAATCAATGATGAAATATGTGTACATTCTTATTTATACCTTTCTTTGGTCTTTGTTTCAGATCTCTTGAAAGCTCTGAAGCCAGATTACGTGGTCCCCCTGGTCCTTTGGCTTTGCCACGAGAGCTGTGAGGAAAATGGTAGCTTGTTTGAGGTAATCTCCCCCTTCCTGCTTTCTCTCAAAGCAATATTTGTGTAATTCTATATAAAAAATGGTCTAAACATTAATATTTTCCAGTTGCTCATACTTGCAAAGAACTGCATGAGTTGCTATCAGTTGTGTAATTTTTAATATCATGGTTAACTAAAGAGCAAATGTTGACAAATGCCCTTTTTAGAAGTAACAGCAACTTCATAAATTCTGTTTTTCCTTACTTCTTCATTTTTAATATTCTTACCAAATGAAAATGTGACTGGTTTGATGTGTTTAGTCAAGTGGAGAAAGTTTTATTTGGTTTGGGAACCTGAATGTGAAAATAAAAGGATGGAACTTAGGGTTTAGAGTCAGCAAGATTGGGTTTTGGATTTTTGTTTTGATAATTGCTGGCTTGCTGGAATATCATACAAATTAATGTTCCTGAGCATCAGTTTTCTTCAGCTTTTGTGATGACAACTAGAAATCATATTTTCATTTTTAAAAAAGATTTATTTATTCATCTGAGAGAGAGAGAGAGAGAGAGAGAGAACTCAAATGAGAGGAGGGACAGGGAGAGAGAAGAGAGAATCTAAAGCAGACTCCACGCTGAGCATGGGACCTGGCACAGGGTTCGATCCCATCACCCAGAGATCATGACCTGAGCTGAAACCAAGAGTCAGACACTTAGCTGACTGAGCTACCCAGGTGCCCTCAGTCAGCTTTTTAAAATCTTGGCATGGGGTCTAGTATGTAACAGTCACTTTTCAATTGGAACTGTTATGTCACTGTAGCAGAAATTTAGTCTCGTGTGATAGATCCAGACATAACTATTATTTACTTTAACTTTAGAAACAAATGTTTCTATTTTTCCTTGTTGCAGAGCTTTAAATGTTTATTGTAAAAATAAAAAGCACACATCCAAAGAGATCCACTTTTCACAGCACAAAGTCCTTTTAAATCTCTTTATGCCAATGTATACATCTTTGATTCCTCATTTGGGTGTGATCTCTCTCTCTTTTTTTTCTTTTTAAATTTTTTTACTTTTTATTTATTTATGATAGTCACACACAGAGATAGAGAGAGGCAAGGCAGAGACACAGGCAGAGGGAGAAGCAGGCTCCATGCACCAGGAGCCCGACGTGGGACTCGATCCCGGGTCTCCAGGATCGCGCCCTGGGCCAAAGGCAGGCGCTAAACCGCTGCGCCACCCAGGGTTCCCTCTCTTTTTTTTCTAAAACTGTTATATTTTAGATCTCCGCCCCCCAACCTTTGATTCTCTGTGGTAATTTTTTTTATTTTTATTTTTTTTTCTGTGGTAATAATTAACCTGTTGACGAAGAATACTGTGAAAGCCAAAAATATTTCTTGGTATCAAAATAACCTGGCGTAGTTTGAAGTGACTGCTATATTAACCTGATGCATTTGAATAAAAAGCTGTTAAAATAAAAAAAACAGTCTGCACATGTCTAAGTAGAGATGTGTGCCTCCACTTTCTTAATCACAGCACTGAATATGAATTGTGGAATATTAGAGGTGGAAAGTACCTTATAAGAACTTTGCAAATTTAGTAATATCAAGCTGTCTAGGTCTCAGAATTTGGTCTCCCTATCTTTTACATCATTAAGGAATTTTTAAAACTTTTTATGTTTTACAATTATGTTTGTTATTAATTCTGTGGACAAAAATCATACATGCCTTTGTAGTAAACTAAATATATAACAAAGTGTAGAGAAGAAAATAAAAATCATCAACATTACCCGTATCTAGAGATAACTACTATTTGTATTTTTCTGTATCCTTCCAGGCTAAGATGCGCATCTTAGTTGAATAGTGTTTTGTTTTGTTTTTTTAGATGTGCGTTTTATGCACACAGCCAGACCTCTGGAGACAACAAGGTTATTTTGTAGATGAAGTTTTATATGTTGTCCTTTTACTACGTCATGAACATTTTTAGTGAGGGGCATTTTGTGTGCATGATTCAGAAAATATATTAAACACCTATAATATCTTGACTGAAATCTTGAAAATGAATTTTGCCTCTTTGTTTGCAGAGTTCTGAGTGCTATCTAGAGTGTAATGTAGAGATGCTTTGGCTCAGCTGGAGCTCCTGTGTTTAATGCCTGTGAGGAGCTTACAGCTTGTTGCTTCACTCCCAAAATAGAGTAAAATGTGATCTCTCTCTTGTCTATTACCAAAAACACTGCTGTTGTATCTACTCTGACAGCATCAGGACTGATAGGTCTATTGTAAATGTTGTAGGCATATTAATATCAAGCCAAAGGGTGATAAATATCCAGACCCTTGACCTAGAGCCACTAAGATGTGTTCTGTGTGCTGAGAACACAGTTTTGTCCTATTCATGTGAAATTCTGATGGTAAATTCCAGCATGCTGTAGTTGTGCTGGAAGATTGGCAACTATATATCTAATATATATATATATATATTAGACATTCTCTTCTGGGATTCCCATGCATGACCTCTAGGGAAAAATGGATCTTTCTTTGTAGCAGTTAATATATTTGGCCATTTGCCTTCTCTCCATAAAAGTGTTATATTAAAATGACCATATGTAATTCATTAAGTCAAATCCTACTTTTAGTTTTCTTTCCTTTTTATTTTTTCATTCACTAGGTCTTTCTTTTTTTTTAAGATTTTATTTATTTGAGAGAGAGAGTGAGAGAGTGAGTGAGCAGAGAGAGGGAAAAGCTGGCTCCCCACCGAGCAGGTTGTCCAACATGGGGCTTGATCCCAGGACCCTGGGATCATGACATGAGCTGAAGGCTGACACTTAACCGACTAAGCCACCCAGATGCCCATTCACTAGGTCTTTCTAGAGGGATGTGATTTCACGCCTGTGTTGTGCTGGGCAATTTTACTCTTTTATATTGTTTAACCTTTATGGTTATCTCATGAAAAATAGTATCATTATTTTACATGAGAGGAGCCTTGGATTTAGGGAATTCAGATAATTCGATGAGGGTCACACAACTAATAAGTAGAAGAATTAGTTTGAAGCCTTAGTTTTTGATGTCAGTCATGCTTCTTTACCATATGCATTTCTACTACCTTGTGCTGCTTTGTATTTCTACTCTGATAAAACGAATAGCACAAAGTTCTGGAGGCCCGTGGACTCTTGTAGAGCTGTATTATTTTCATCCATTATGGTCTAGCCTTTGGATACTCTTAGTAAGGTAGATGCCTGCTCTTCTAATTTAAAATATTCTTTTCCTGATTCACTTTAGTTGATGTAACTGTTATCCCTCTTTTTTGGTAGGTTGGAGGAGGATGGATTGGAAAACGTAAGTCTCTCTCAGTTTTCGGTTTGCCATACCTTGTTTCTATTTTTTTAACCTCACACATCCAATCAGCTATGTAAAGATCTTGCCCAAAGCCTTACCATTGGAGCTTCTGCATGCATGGTCACACTCAAACATGGTTATACTGACAGGTATTCTAAAACAGGGAAGCTGTCCTGCAGGCTTTTGGCATTTTCAAGAAACGACTGAGTTTTTTTTTTTTTTTTTTCCTGTTGGCAGCCCTTATTTTCCACTTATGTTTTGGTGTTAATGTTTGGCCTCCCTATCTCTGGCTTTGCACATTCTGCAGAGAAATTGAGTGGGAGAGAGGGCTGTTTGGAGAAGATGGGAAGAACTCTGTGTCAGATGACACAGAGGCAGGGTTGTCCATTTCTCTCATTTGATTCTTTTCTTCCTTGGGGCCATGAGACATCAGGAGGTGGCAGTGAGGAATCACAGTGGACAACTTGCTGAGACAGAAATTGCAACCGATGTCTGGAAATTATTCCCCTTTTGTCCAGTAGGAAACTCATGTGGCTTCAATCCTCTCTCCATCTGTCAAATCTTTTGTGCTTCAAATTGAATAATTGCTTCATGACATTAAAAAAAAAAATTGTGAAAATTCCAGTATCCTAAATCAAGTTTTCAGTTGGGTGTTGGTATCGAAACTACTTGAGTTATTTAAAAGGTTGTCATTATTGGAGAATATTGTTGTAACATAGGGTATCAATATTTTGATCATAAATGACTGTTCTCTTTGGTCATTAAAGTAATGTACACTACTCAAGCATTACTCAATAGAAGTGTCTTAGGATATCCATTTAAGAAAGAAAATCAGTTGTTGGAATGAAAACTTTTTCTGGGACTCTGTCGATAGGAAAGCTCTAGGAGCAGGCTTTCCTGTCATTCCTTGAAGTGGATCTTCAATTTAATATTGTCAAAGTCTGACCATTATGTTTAATTAAACAAGGTTACTAGTGGTTATTGTATTCCTTGGGCTTTTTGAAAAGAAAACAGTATTAAAAGTTTCTCCTCAGAGAACTTACACAACAGTAACGATTTTGGTGCATATGCCCTAGTCTAGTTGGCTTCCTGTGGAAAAGGAAACAAGAGCAAAGGGAGGGGAAGGGGAATTATTTGGGGCCATGTGATATATTAATTTGGGTATCTGGAGCCTTTGACCTGTTATCACCACCTGTCCTCACTTTGCTGTTTAACAAAGTTCTATTCTGTTACCTTGAAGTATATTACCCACGTGATCTGTGGTCGTGAAGTCAGTCTTTTTGTGTGATTATATAGAGTTTAAATTTTTATGTTTCAGTGTTACATTCTACCTTTGGTACTGTCTGGCATAGTCAGAGTTTTTCCCTTCAGCTTTAAATATATATATTTTTTAATTCACATTATTCCAATGGGTGTTATTTGAAGAAAAACCCATGTAAAGGCTTGTAGCAAAAGAAAAAAAAAAAAAGGCTTGTAGCAAAACCCTTTTGCTGTGAGGATCTGTTTTTTGCCCCAAGTTCCCTTTCTCTTAAGCTTAAAAAAAATTCAAGGGGCACAGATGAATTTGACTTTCTGTGTTTCTCTTAAAAATCTGTACTCCTTTTCTTTGTTTTATTTCTGTGACCAGTACGCTGGGAGCGGACCCTTGGGGCCATTGTGAGGCAGAAGAATCAGCCAGTGACTCCTGAGGCAGTGAAGGCCAACTGGAAGAAGATCTGTGACTTTGACAATGCCACCAAGCCTCAGAGTATTCAAGGTAGAGTCCTGAGTCCATTCACTCCTGGCTGGGGAACCAGAGAGAGCAGAACATACTCCTCTCTTAGAGACTTAATCTTGTTTTAACTAGAGCCCATTTTCTGCTCTGGTAGCTGTTAGAACTCTTCAAATTTAAGATATGTATGTCGAGCCGCCTTCAGTTTTTCCTTTTTTTTTGGTAATTCTACATTTTTGGTGGACGTCCAGGTGGGGGATCCACCCTCAGATATTTCAGATTATACTGATCTCTCTCTTAGCTCAACTCTGACTACTTGGCAATCTCATCAAAGCTGCTTTTGTTTCAGAAGTACGTGATTCTTCACTGCTTCCTTTGGAGGCAGAGATTGTGTCTTGGTTGTGCTGCTTTTGTCTTTGGTGCTTGCTTGGTACTGAACTCAGGAGTCAGTAAATGCTTGTTACCTTGAGTTATTGAGTCGTTTATGATCTGCCACAGAAATAGACAACCAGTAAAAATCACATTGTTTTTTCTAGTGTAACTCACATATGCATATCATATATGAAATTTAAAGGACTTATCTGGGAAAGATAGTGTGATTCAGGGTTATTTTATAGACAAATCTTTTTTTCCTTTTAGTAATTTTGTATTCATTGTTTGGTAGGAGAATATATATCTTAAAAACTGACTAATCTGGGTTTTTTCCCTCCTTAATGACATTTTCCTACCTGTTGGTACACTCACTGAAATTTTCATTGTCTTTTTTCTCAATTAGATGGTATCACGATTGTTAGGTCATTGATGGTAGGTAGCATTGGCTATATCCATATTTTGATGTTTGTGATAAATTTAGCCTGTGAATAACAGTTACCCATCGATGAAAATGAATGAAAGGAAAAAGGAAGAAATATATTAAAAACTTTGCTCTGATGTCAAAGTTTCACTTCATTGCCTTACAAGTATTATCAAGAAAAAGCTAACTAAATGAATCACATAATTATAAATAAAAAATACTTCTAAGTATCTGAAGTACAGTTAGGAGAAAAATCTCACATTTTCTGTACAACTATTCTCATCTTACGGATGACAGACTAAGTCCCAGACAAACGTAGTGAGCGGCCCACCTTGTTTGTACAGTGTCTGAGCCGAGTTAACTCAGGCTGTCTGTGTCAGGGTGTGGTCCTTTTCTGCCTGTAGCAAGGCGACTTTCAATTTTTTTTTTAATAAATTAATTTTTATTGGTGTTCAATTTACCAACATACAGAATAACACCCAGTGCTCATCCCGTCAAGTGTCCCCCTCCGTGCCCGTCACCCATTCACCCCCACCCCCCGCCCTCCTCCCCTTCCACCACCCCTAGTTCATTTCCCAGAGTTAGAAGTCTTTATGTTCTGTCTCCCTTTCTGATATCTCCCACACATTTCTTCTCCCTTCCCTTATATTCCCCTTCACTATTATTCATATTCCCCAAATGAATGAGAACATACACTGTTTGTCCTTCTCCGATTGACTTACTTCACTCAGCATAATACCCTCCAGTTCCATCCACGTTGAAGCAAATGGTGGGTATTTGGCGACTTTCAATTTAAAGCCTCCTTTTGACTTAAGTCTGAGTGGGGCAGTGAGGAAAGGACTCAGTGGCAAGGAGATTCTCCACTAGTGTCACCAGGAGTGGCAGCTCTCCTGATCACATCTCATTCTTTGGTTTGCTTATAGTTTTGGTCCAAGTTTGGAAGGAGGCCCATAGTGCCAAGGTTTGCTAGAAAGGTCCCCGAGTCTCTAGAATCTTATGGCATATGTGGATGCCCCATGAATCTCCTTTATTAACCTTTTTGACCCCAGAACAGCAGCTTCTGAACCCTCTCTGTAATCTCTGGTCATAGTGATGGTTTTTTCTGGAAGAACTTTGTGTACTATCTTTAGAGCTATCACTTGAGATAGGAGGGAGTTCAGAGGTAATTGTGGCATTGTTCTATCCTGGAGGGGGAGGGTGGTGGGGAGAGAAGGGAAATTAGGTTTTCCTTCACCAAAAATGGCATGTCTCCGGACAAAGGTCCCACTCAGTGGAGTTGTAAAATCGATCAGTCATGGCAAAGCTCAGAGTCTCCTTAGAATCATAACCCAAGAAGAGAATGCTGGATAGTGTCTTGTTCTCCATTGAAAACACCCAGTTATCCTTGGTCTATTTCAACATCTTTGACAGTTTTTTCCTGTAATAGCCCAGCCTCATATATCCAGTTCATGAGGACCAGTTCTGTGGCTGGCTTGCTGAATATCATAGCAGCGATTATCTCGTACATTGTTGCCTTTCTTAGTCACATCTTTAACAAAAGCATTATTGTTGTTATTATTTTTTAGAATCAGTTGCCAGTTTAATTGGAGTTTTAAATACAATAGATTCGGATGGAGGAGTTTCAACAAATCCTACGAGTCATGCAGCATCAACAGCTACATCAGAATTTGTAAGTAGGGGAGAAAAGCCTATACTTTCTCCAAAGAGTCTCTCTTTTCTTTCTCTCTTTCTCTTTTTTTTTCTTTCATACAGAAAACATTATTTTCCAAGCTACTAATTTATTGTTAAATAGGAAAGTGACTACAAAACTTTCATTAAAATCTGTACTAAGTATTTATAGAATTTGAATGAACATAAGGCTGAAATGTAGCCTTGTGTGACTTTTACGTCTTTAGTATAATTAGACAAATATCTCTCCCCACACCCACTTTTTTGGTCGTATTGTTGATAAACTGACTTTAATTACTATTTTTCTGACTTTTTAGGAAAGGATATCTATTGAAGTGCCTCTTTGGAGTCATTTTTTTTTCTTTTCAGAGAAAGCATTGACAGATTTTATTTTGGAACTATTTCAACATGGCTACAAATAAAGAGCCTCCCATTGTGTCAGAAATCTAATAGAACTGTGGTTATAGCTCATGTGAAATTTGCTGATTTACTGTCTCCCATCTTTAGCCTTTAAGCAAAAAATGGTAGTGCATAAATAGTAAGAAATAAATCATCTGGTGTATTTGATTTTGGAGTTTTGTGACTCAGGGCAGACATGGTGACAAAGTTAACAATCTATTTTAACCCTGAGAATATGATAGGATTATAGGTATGATACTACTTTACGGGCTGGCAAACTTTTCAGGAAAGGGCCAGATAATAAATGTTTTAGGCTTTATGGACCACATACCATTTCTGTCATATATTCTTCCTGTTTTTCTTTTTTTTAACTCTTTAATAATATAAAAACCATTCTTAGCTCTCAGCCCATTTCAGAATGAATATGATTGATAACTGGACATTGTTCTTTTTTAACTTAATGTATACTTCACACATTACCTAGACATATCACTTAAGTAGAAAAGTAATGGTATCAATTAGATAAGGGGCATTCCTAGTGAGGCACTTAAAGTAAAATCTCAATTTAACTAAAACCATTATGAGGCAATCTCATTTACAAGTATTATGCAGTGTTCTGCTCATCTCTTTACAGTGAATTTTATACATTAGCTCTTACAGGGCAATTCACTATCCCTATTTATGATATATTCATTATTATTATTATTATTTTTTTTTTGTATTTTTGAGTTGCTAATAGGTGCTGAGCTAATAGGGCTTCTCACCATCAGATATGGGAAATTTGAAAATGAGACATACTGTTAGTAAGAAGCAAGCAATAAAAATGTACTTACCTGTAAATGAAGTCCTTTTCCACACATTTTCTGATGGTTTTCTATTAAAATAAAATATAATGAAACTCCATGAATTTCACCAACATAACATTCTCTTCACATCTCTTCAAAAGCAAAATAGGTCTGTAAGCAGTTAATAATTTTGGAAAAGTTAAAATGTTAAGTATTGAACAAAAATATCAGTGAAAAAATAATTTTCTACACCTCTCTCATAGGCTGGAGCCATTGGCCGTAAATTTCCTCCATTTTCTTCTGCTTACACGGAACTGGAAACTATTATGTATGCCCTAGGCGTGGGGGCATCGGTCAAGGAACCCAAAGATTTGAAATTTATATATGAAGGAAGCACCGATTTCTCCTGTTTGCCTACCTTTGGAGTTATAATAGCTCAGAAATTTGTAGTAGGTGGAGGATTATCAGAGATTCCTGGGTTTTCAGTCGACTTGGCAAAGGTATGTATAATAAGGAAGCTTTATTTGCTTCTTTTGGTTTCTTTAAATGGTATTGACATATTTATCACATGGTGTGGGTGTGTGGGGGCGCATGTGTGTGCACATATTCATGTATTAATAACATTGTAGCAGTTGATTCAGGAGTAAAGATTTAGCATATCTTTTGATTTTTCTTTTTAAAAATAGAAGAGAGTTGAAGGGGGCAAGCAAAAAAAAAAAAAAAAAAAAGAAGACAGCAATTAGATCCAGTCCCATAATTAATCCCGGCATAGTGTTCTTAATTCTCTCCCTGCCATTTACTTGCTGTTTGACCAACAGTAAAGAACTGCACTAAGCTTCAGTTTCCTTAACTATAAAATGGGCGTGATAATTCTTACCTGATGATACTGAGCCAGGTAATTATCTGGGAAGAGTATTTGAGGCAGAGAGAACAATTGCAAAAGGCCCCGGGCCAGGTGCATGGTTGGCTTGTTTGGGGAACAGTATGGGGACCAGTGTAGCTGTAGGATGAACCAGAGGGGAGTGGTGAGGAAAGAGGGCCTTGTAGTCATTATAAGGATGGCAGCTTATACTCTGATTAGCCTGGGGGAGCAATTTGTAGTGCTCTGTACTAAGGAGTGATACCTGTGTTTGCCCACAGGTTCATTTTTGCTATTGCATAGAGAAGAGATTATCTGGGAGCCAAGCAGAAGCAGAGAAACTTGTTAGGAGTCTCTTCTGTAAGTTAAGCAAAAGGCTGGCTGTGAGGAAAGGAAAGAGGAGTCGAGGATGAAAGTTTTTGTAACTGGGATGATAGATGTGCATATCTATCTCTATACATTATTTACCATTTATATAATATATTTAATATGTATAATAGTTAATATAACATACTGTGTATGATAAGATAGATATATATGATTAGTCTAAGGTGGGGATGATCAGGAGTTGATTTGGACACACTTGAGATTCTATTACTCATTCAAGTGGAGGTATAAAATGGGCAGTTGAGTATGTGAGTCTTGAGTTCAGGAGAGAAGTCTTCCTGGGGTCCTGAGACTCTCCGTGATGTGTAAAAACACAAGACTAGATGAAATCACATAATGTATGAGTGTACATAGAGAAGAGTCTCAGCTTAAGGACCCTGCAAGTGTTAAGAGGGTGAAGACCCGAGAAAGAATTAGCAAGAGAGACTGAGAAGGAATGACTGCCGAGGAATGAGCTCTGAGGAATATCAGGATGATGTGGTATTTGGGAAGCAAAGTGAACAAACTTTCAGGAGGGAAGAAGCTGAACAGCTGTGAGAAAGCTTTTAAGGTAGGGTAGATTTCATTTCTCTGAGCAAGGTTCAGGTAATGAGTCCAGGGATAACTCTTGAATCATAGAGGTGTGAGCCAGTTCTCTGACATTGATGATTAGGAGACCCATGTACTAGAGGATGGATTAGCTCATTGCTGCTCTGAATCTGTGAGAACTGATTTTATTTTATTTTAGTATTTATTTATTTTTTAAAGATTTTATTTATTTATTCATGAGAGACACAGAGATAAGCAGAGACATAGGCAGAGGGAGAAGCAGGTCCCCGGCGGAGAGCCTGTTGGACTAGATCCCGGAGTTCTGGGATCATGCCCTGATCTGAAGGTAGATGCTCAACCACTGAGCCACCTAGGCATCCCAAGATCTGATTTTATTTGAGCGTCTGATGAAGTTGAGAGGGAGATGAGATATGGATCAGATCACTGGTTGGTTTAGTCCCTGTCCCATGATATTTGCTGCCTCCAGTTCCATTTGGATAATTGAAGTGTAAACAAAGCAAATGTTTCAAAATTCTGCAGAGTACTCCTTCAGAGTTGGAAGGAGTTAGAAAAACCATAAACAGTGTTCAAAATCGTGGTGGGGAATGATGCCATTTTGAGCTGAAATCCCTGTCTTGCCAGCTTCAGGTTTCCAGGCCATCTGATACAGTGGGCTATCCTGCATTTGTCTCATGGTTTCCCTTCTGGGTTCTTAGGAAGATTGGAAATTAAAGCTGTCCCATATCAGTGCGGGAGTGCTCATTTGAATACATGGGTCAGGTTTTATTTTTCCTGTCCTATTGTTTTCCTACTTATATTGGTATCTTCTTGCTTCCATACATTGAGGTTAAGTGGCCATCAAGTTAACACAATATTCTTGGTATCTATTAATAGATAATTTATAAGATATGTCTTATAGATGCACATGGATCTATGTCTATATCTATAGATTCAGATAATATATAAGATCTTACACCAGGGAAATATTGACAGTGTTAATTCTTTTACTTTGAATATAGTTGTAAGTTTTACTTTTGTGTTTTATTTTTATTTTTTTCTTTAAAATTTTATTCATTTGAGACAGAGAGCATGAGCAGCGGGGAAGAGGAGAGGGAGAAGCAGCCTTCCTGCTGAGCATAGAGCCTGATGTGGGGCTTGATCCCAGGACCCTGAGATCATGACCTTAGCCAAAGGCAGATACTTAATGATCTGAGCCTCCCGGGCATCCCTACTTTTTTGTTTTAGTTGAGTTGTTTGTATGGGGTATGTGTGATTTGAAATTACGTTACTAGGACTGGCCAAGTTACTAATTTTTATTCAATAGACATTCATTAAATACCCAGTATGTTCCAAACACAGTGATAAGCACTGAAAAAATAGCTTAGTTTAGTGTTTGCATTGGCAAACAATCCACAATCATCGGTCAACAAAGATTTATGCGTGTCAAGAAAGAACACAAAGCTATCTTTTCTGCTCCAAAAAAATCTGATAGTCTTTAGGGAACTGATTATTTTTGAATCCTATGGTTAAGAAGCAGAAGCCAAACTGAGACCGATAACTTGGGTGAAGTAGTGATGGGAGCATGTGGGCAGTGAAATATCACTTGTGATTAGTGATAACCATAGCAGAACCTGTGAAACAGGAAAGTCTGCTAATAGAATTTTGTTGACTCTAACATAGGTTCTCCATGGGGAGCAATACTTGGAGTTATATAAACCACTTCCCAGAGCAGGTGAGTTCTTGATGCACTGATTTCTTAATCATACCCTCATTTTATTTTATTTCCCAACTAACCTTCCAAAGTTTGTCATTTTGTTAAGTTGGTGCAGAGTGACTTAAATAAATCATATTGTGAGCTGTTAGAGTAGATGTGAAGGAATAGCTGTTTTGGTGACCTTAAACTTTGTCCTTTGGTAGTCTTATTTAATAAATTACTTCAGGATACTGACCGTTTATTTCCACTGTTATACATGCTATTAACACCTGAAAAGAGTCTTTTTTTATGTATGTGTGTTCTAAACTTAGTAATTGTGTGTAATCCTATGTAATTCCTATGAATATGGTTTTTGGTTTCTTTCTCAGGTATTTATGTTGGTAGTGATTTTCATAAAGCAAATTGCATTAAAACAGAGAATTTCTTGTTTGTTCTTAAGATTTTATTTATTTATTCATGAGAGACACACAGAGAGAGACAGAGACATAGGCAGAGGGAGAAGCAGGCTCCCCATGAGGAGCCCCGATGAGGGACTTGATCCCAAGACCCTGGGATCATGACCTGAGCCAAAGGCAAATGCTGAACCACTGAGCCACCCAGCAGTCCCCCAGAATTTCTTGTTATTAACTTTTTCCTGTTTTCTTTTAGGGTAAATAAAATCACGTCTGCTGTAATAATGAATTTTGTTTTTCTCAGTAATATCTTGTTCTGTAAAGCTGCTTTTCTCGTTCTTCCACTGTAATTTGACAAATTTGCTTTGTTACACTGTTCTAATGTCAGCAGTCTGATTAAATACTGACCATATAAGATTGTAAAATACAAAAAAGTGCTTGTTTGTCATTTCACATTATATGACGTAGAGGTCAGCAAGTAGCTGCACTTCTGTAATGTTTTCTCAGGTCTTTTTATTTCTCTCAAAATTCTTCTCGTTTGAAGCTGAATGGTACAGCATACGTTTTCTGTGAGGCAGTGCATGGCTTTGATGGCTGCCTTTGTCAGATATCTGCTGGCTACCTGCCATGTGCAAGGCATAGTTTTCAGTTTTAGATGAATTCTCTAACCTGGCTATGTACTGAAATAGCCTCTTACTACCTTATATTACCTGTTACTTTATTTATTTTTATTTATTTCTGGAGGGGTGGGTGGTAAGGGCAGAGGGAGAGAGAAAATCCCAAGCAGGCTCTACTCCCTTTGTGGAGCCCAACATGGGGCTCAATCTCATGACCCTGAGATCATGACCTGAGCTGAAATTGAGTTGGACGCTCAACCGACTGAGACACCCAGGCTCCCCTACCTGTTATTTGAATAAAATATGGATTATGGATCCCAACCACTGAGGTGTTGGGTGCATGCATGAGTCATGTGTGTGAGCTGTGGTGGTGGCGATGGTGGCAGTGGCAGAGACCTGGGGGATCCCTCTGTGTTACATGTGCAACCAGCCTAACATTGGTTCACTTGGGAACTCATATTATGAGGAAAGCAGAAATGTGTGATATAGATTTCTGCCTTTAGAAATTTTAAATATAAAGAGAGACATATAGGCCTATATTCAAAAATGATTACAACAGGGACACCTGGGTGGCTCAGTCAGTTGAGCGTCCAAATCTTGATTTCAGCTCAGGTCGTGATCTCAGGGTCCTGAGATTGAGCCCCACATTAGGCTCTGTGCTCAGTGGGGAGTCTGTTTGAGATTCTTTCCTTCTTCCTCTACCTCTCCCCTTGCTCATTCTTTCTCTCTCTCTCTCAAAAATAAATGAAGAAATCTTTTAAAAAATGATTACACCTGAAAAGTGATATGAATAGGAAGGTGTGGAAGATATTTTTCTCAATTTCTTGTACCTCCTTAGCTTCAAGTGATGTTTTTTCTGTGAATTGTTTTTTTTTCAGTAGCTTTTGTGCATTTTCTTTAAGTAGTGTTAAAGCTGACTCTCTAGTAAATATGAATATTCAAAATCTGAGATACTTATGTTTTGAAACCTCTTTAAACTGCAGAAAACCAAGATATGACTATTATTTATGATCTTCCCTTAAAACCTCACAGGTGCCACATGCATCAGGAGACTGATGTCCTCATTCATATCTCTCAGTGGCTCTTTTGTTACTGCAGTGGTACTGTCAGAGACTGAGTGGCCCCTCATTGGGGTGGAAAAATAAGCATTAGATTGAATATAAAAAACCTAATTGCAAAACTTTAGTTTTCATCATGACCTAGCACATGTTTTAGTGTGGGATATGCTGGTCTTTAGATTTCCTGGACAGTAAAGTTTTGATTTTATTATGTTGCTACTTGTTGTTTCAAATGTAGTGACTCAGGTACTCTGTTTCCTTTTAATGTTGAATTATTCAGCATTATATTGAAAATTATTTCAAAGCATAACTTTTTAATTTTGCTGAATTTACATGGAAACTGTTACATTCTTTCATATCTGAATGTAATACCTTTATGGTCTTTAAAGAGTCTCTTTACTTATTTATTTTGCTTTTCCCTTTAGGAAACTTAAGATGTGAAGCAGTTGTTGCTGATGTCCTAGATAAAGGATCCGGTTCAGTAATTCTTGTGGATGGTAACTCACTTCCAGTTCTTCCCATAATGTTGTTAGGTTGATAGACCATGTATGTAACCTAATGCTTCACCCTAGAAACTGATCAGTAAGTTTGTGTTCACCTTCCAGTTTCTGAGAAAGCAAGATAAACCTTCTAAAAATTTATAAGTTCTTAGAAAAGAAGCGAGGATGGGGAGAAAGTGGGTTGGGGTAGGGGTGGGAAGAGTGGGGCGTTTCAGACAGCAGGCTGGTATCTAGAGCATTGGTGGCTAACTCAGCTCGGCATATGGACTTGGCGAGAAGGAACCCATTGACAGCCATAAGTTGATAATTAGTCTCTATTGGAAATATTCTTGTCTTTGTTATTTGGAACTTGGAACATATTTGACCCGAGTCATTTTCATAAATGCTAGTTAAATTCCTAAATGTTGCACATTCAGGCCTGTTGAACTCATGTGGTTTAAACACCGTAGCCATATTATAGGTTCAGTGGGGAGAAAAAAGGTGATAGTAATTTAATAAACATTGAAATGCTAGTAATTAAACATCAGCTAAAGATACATTGCTTAAAATTCATTTATTCTAAAACTTAAGAAAATAAATAGACCTTTATTGTTAAAAAATTTGGAAATAAATTACGGTGGAAAGTTTAATATTGTCTGGCAGTTGGAATATAGGTTTCATCAGTTTTGTTCTAACTAGGTAGATTGAAGGTTTTACTGTAAATGTTGTTGAGGAGCTTGTCTTGTTTTTACTAAATCGTATGCTGAAAACATTTTTGATGCTCTTAAATATCCTGTTACATTGTTTGCATTAGCTCAGAGAGTTTCATAGTAGGTCTGTTCTCTCTCTTACTCTCTTGTGTTCTTCTTCCTTCTCCCTTTTCTGTTGTAGATTTTTGTGTTTTCTTATCATGCCAGAAGTTGGCCACCATTTGGCTACAACTCTTCTAATTTTTCTTTTGCTCTTCTCCCCTTGCTACCACATATGTAACATGCCACAAAACAAATGTCCTGCTGTGACCTTAGCTTTCATGTTTACTCTTTTCTCGTGACCTACTGCACTGATTTAACTACAGCTTGGTTATGGCTAATAGTGTATTAGAATTTGTGGACAAAGGGTAAATGAAATCAGATACCCAATTTCCTGTGTAATAAAGATAAAAATCTTACTTTAAATACATACTGCCATAACCTTCCCTATTTTTTGCTATAATTAGATTTTTCCTTAGTCTGCAGTTCAGAGCCCTATTTCTAGTTTTCCAGAACTGGAGATACAAGATAATAATCAAACTCTCACTGGGCAGTTAGTGGAAAGAGGGACAGTTGTCCTACATTCATTAATTACTTGTTTACTTACTTGCTCACTCATGTCATTTATTCATTAATTTACTCATTAATTTAATATTTGTTAGGTGCCTTTTCAGTCCTAGGTACTATTCTGATCATTAGGAATATGATGGTGAGCAAAATGCCCATGATTCTACCCTCCTGAGGCTTATACCTTCGTTCTCACTTATTTCTTCTCTGTATTCTAGGCTGTTTTTGAGTCCTTTGGCAGAATGTTTGAAAGTTTGAGAGAGTGGATATTTGCATTTCCTACTGGGAGTTTTTGAAATGTTTGAGGTGGAAAGAATTGAGATATGGTAGGCAGTTTGGGAGGTTTAAAAAGAGATGAGAGAAACTGCTGTTTCATAATGAAGAAGAGATTTGTGAAGATTCTCTTCACTCTGCTTTCCAGAGACTAGTAGTGAATGAATTAAGAGAATGTTTTGTAAACCAAACTTGGGCATCTTGAAATTACTGTACCTTTTAGTAACTGGATTTTATTTTCGAAACTTTCAAAGGAATTGCCGATCATGTAATGGTTAACTAGTCATGTCTTTTGATAATAACTTCCTTTCTTTTTTCTTTCATTTGCTTTTCAGTCTATTCTTATTTTGAGGAGGAACTTATATGTTATAATCAGTTCTCTCTTTTCCTTGTTGGCTCTGGAGGTACTGGTGGAAAACGGACATCAGACAAAGTCAAGGTAGATAAGTTTCCTTATCTATATTTTGAATATACATTCTGAATACACATATTACTATATGTACAAACTACATATTACCCTATGTGTAATTTCCTAGAGTAGATCCTCAGTAATTTACACTTCTTTGAATCAGAGTATGTTCCTTGAATTGGAAGTGCTGTTTACATGTGTATATTTTTTTTTTAAAATATATTATTTTTTTATTTTATTTATTTATGATAGGCACACAGTGAGAGAGAGAGAGGCAGAGACACAGGCAGAGGGAGAAGCAGGCTCCATGCACCGGGAGCCTGACGTGGGATTCGATCCCGGGTCTCCAGGATCGCGCCCTGGGCCAAAGGCAGGCGCCAAACCGCTGCGCCACCCAGGGATCCCCTACATGTGTATATTTTGATAGATGACACATGTTATGTAGATAAGTCTGACTTCTATAAATATAATGTATCTGAAATAATTGTGGGAACATTTTAACTTTCTTATCCAAATCTTGTAGCACCCAGAAGTCTTTAGAAAATCCCAACACATGCAGTTGATCCTTGTATAAAATGTTACCCCATGGCCTTATTGAATATCTAGAGCAATCTTCTGGCAATGAGTGGAGCCTAAGAGTTGGGTCTGATACCAGAGGAGACAGACAGTTGGACAGAGAGATCAGGGAGAGAGAGTCACGGAGAGCCCTCTTGAAATTAATGTCCCTTGCAGGATGATTATGCCCTTGCCCAAGGCCGCACCTCTGAGGAGCAACACAGAGTTTGCTCATGGTGGTGGAAGTAGAGTTAGCTAAAATAGTCTAGGCAAGGCACCATAAATAAACAAGTTAATAGTAACTACAGGCCTGCCAAGGGGAAAGGAGGTCAGTGTCCAGAGTTGCTGTAATAGGTTATCTAAGATGCCCGGTCATCAAGAAAAAAATTACAAGACATGCAAGAAACAGGAGCACATGACCCAGAGACAGAAAAATAAGACCAGAATAAAATGGGCAATAGAAACTGCCTTTGAGAGGACTTTACAGATGAAGATTCAAAATCTTCAGAGAACTAAAGGAGAACATGTTCAAGAAGGTCAAGTGTGATGGCAGTGACTCCTCAGGGAAAATCAGTGAAGAGAAATTATCTAGCAGAATCAAACAGAAGTTTTGAAGCTGAAAGTACAATGAGGGAAAGGAAGCATTTTCTAGAGCGCACAGGAGTAGATTTGAGCTGTCAGTAGAAAGAATTGAAAAGTTTGATGATCTGTCTGTCTGACCATCTGTCTATCTATCCCTACCTGCATACCTATATCAGTCTCAAGGACAGAAAAAAGATGAAGAGAAGAAAAAGGGCGAAGAGCCTCAGAGAAATGTGGGATACCGCATGTATAGCAGCATGCGTGTAACTAATGGGAGTATGAGTAAGAGAGCAGAGAGAGAAGGAAACAGGCAAAATAATGGGATGATGGTTTTGATGAACAACATTAATCCACACATCTCGGTATCTAAGCCAACTCCAAATAGGATATTGATGCAGAGAGACCCACACCCTGAGTAAAGTACCTTTAAAGATGAAATCAATATAGGTGTGAATTGTTTGTCTAATTCTTATGTTTATTATCACCTTTTGCCCTGGGAAGTGTCTTTTCTTCTTTCTCCTTTGTGGCTGAGAGAACAGATCTGATTGTATAATTCCTTTCATTACAGAGTCATTTCTGGGAAATCACAACACAGATGATGCTAGCAGTTAGGAAATTTTAAATGTTATCTCTTGGACAGGAAATATTTTTGAAAGCTCTTTATCTAACTTGCAGATTTTATTATATTGAAACATGGTTGTTCATCGAATACCAGTTTGAATAAAAAGAAGTAACTATTACTTTGTTAGTACTTAACATAGGATGTTTTTTGATTTTAGGCAACTGTAGCTGTGCCTAATAGGCCTCCTGATGCTGTTCTTACAGATACCACCTCACTCAATCAGGTAAGATTGTGTTTTCAAAAAGGAATAAGCCACCTGACTGGTGGTGACTCTTGAATGTATAACTCTGATATCATATAATTTTGTGAGTCTGAAAGTAGTGGCTGTGTCCTTCAGCATCATAAAAATAATGGCATATTTCCATAGTTGGAATCCAGTCTTTCTAAATTTTTGCTCATCAGATTTTTTTTTTTCTCTACCATATATCAAAAGTAAATATAGAATAGCTTTTCATTTGTTAGTTTAGGAAGCATCATGCTTTGGTGGCAAATTGGCAAGTGCTTAGAGAGACTGCTTAGCTTAGTAGTGAAGAATTTCATTAAAGCAGTGATAAAAAGTGAGCAGGATAAAAAGAATTGAAAGGAAAATTTTCGTCACTCTTTTACTTTCAAGAAAGAAAATTGAGCTACATTCCTTGAAAGCAGATTATTTTAGGCCAGTTTTAGTGGACAGGCAAAATAAAGCCTCTTAGGAAGGTTAGGTGGTTTAATCTCTTTTGTTTGGCATAAATAATTTGTTTTCTGATGGAGAAGATAAAATGCCTTATCAGTTAACAAGATTCTGTGAGCATGGGAAAGTTTATTTAAGAAACAAAAAATAGAAAAAAAACAAAAACAAAAGATAGCTGTAAAGATGAGAAAGGCCACTTTTGTTGGTGTGAGTCCCCCCCAGAGATTCTTTCCTGCAGTGGCCAGAGGTCTAATGACACAAACACAGAACAGAATCCATAAAGCTCTGAAGGGGCTCTGTGAGAGAACATCTGTAATGACAGCAAATTATTTGTAAGTTTACTCAGTTTATTTTTTTATTTTTTAAAGGTTTTGTTTATTTATTCATGAGAGACAGAGAGGCAGAGAGATAGACAGAGGGAGAAGCAAGCTCCCTGTGGGGAGCCCAGTGTGGGACTCGATCCCAGAACCGCAGGATCACGACCCGAGCCAAAGGCAGATGCTCAACCACTGAGCCACCCAGGTGCCCCAGTTTATGTAGTTTTTGATGTTAATTTTGATATACTTGGTATGAGAATTTCTGCAAGATTTATGTTTTCTGGCAAATAGAAACGTAATTTCATGAGGCAGAAAGAATTAAGATTGTTACATCTTAGAATGTACTATGGAATCAGGTAACAGAAAGAACACTTTCCCTGAGGTTAGTTTTTGCCTTGTAATGTTTTTTTCCATCCCTGTTTCTTATCAGTGTCTTAAGAATGCACCCATATTTATGTTTAATTAAAGCTTTGTATTGAAATTAATTTTATTAAGGCACTAAAAGAACAGACAAGGCTTCATGATTTCATAGTTCAGAAAAACCAGCAGTGCTCCTTTATTATTTTTGGGTTACTGAAATAATAAAAGGTATCTGCTGTAGACAAGAAAAACTGAATAGTTTCCAGGGCTTGAATTTCTACACCCAGTAAGTCAAGAGATTTTCCCCCCCCTTTGGTTCTTTTTCAGAGAAGTAGAACTTTTCATTAGTTTTCAGCAGAGTTGACTCTTCTTCTGTGTGACAAAGAGTAGTTTTTAAGTTAACAACCATTTTTTGTATAAATAATGGGCACCCATCATTTGACAGAACGTTTTGTCTCATGGTCATTTGAGAATATGATGAAAGTCATCTCTTTCTTCAAAAACCATTTTTCATAAAACTTTGCATAAACTTCAGGGGGATTTATGGTCTGTTTTAAACTCAATCTGTGCTACAGGAGATAAAGATCAAGTGGAAAAATGTAATCTGTGGTCAAGGAGCTGGAAGGACACTTGGATACTCAAGATGTAAATGTGGGCATAACTAGGGCACCTGTTCAAGCAATGAATGATTAAACACAGGCTTTGAATTGTTATGTAAGTGCTATAGACATTCAGAGAAGGGATACTCATTAGAGAATGATGTTCAGAAGGCTTTGGTAGGAAAGGTGGCCCTCCTCTAAGCTAAAATGGTGTGTAGATATTCTCTCTTTACCAGAGATGTAGGGCTATTGGCTGGGAAGGGAAGAAGAGGTAATGGTAGCTAACTGTAAGAGAGGAGGAGAGTATGATGGTATATGGGGAATGAGAATTGGAGCAGCTACATGAGAGTAGTGGGAGATGGCTGTGGATGGGCAGATGCTGAAGGAGCAGTGGAAGTAAGGAAAAAACTATGCCATTATAGCGTAAACTACATGCTAGCTCTTTAAATTGGTAACTTCAGTTACTGAAGAACCTGGCAACTATATTTTGAGCTCTACCAGTATTGCTTCTGGGACAATCTTTATCACATCTTCAGGAGAATTTCTTCATGTTCAAACTGGTATGACATTACAGGTGTCCTAGTTTTTCATAATTAACAAATAGAACATTCATCCTTAGTAATCTAGAAAGAATGAAGAATCAGTAGATACTAGATATCAGGCTTTACAGTTAGGGAGAATTTGTAGTTTCCCCAGATACATATTTTATACCACTTAGTCTAACAGTTAGGATTTTAGCTACTGTCATTATTAAGTAATGTTAGTCTTGGGTATATTGTTTATACCATCCATTAAAATATTTTTTATTAAATTGCCAGGTGTATTACAAGTACTACCTTTTTCATTTGTTTTTTGATGATTCTGTGTGTTGATTGGGTGTTGCCTCTGCCTTCACTCAGTGAAGCTGTTCTCCACTGATGGCTGGGCAGGTCCAGGACGTCCAAGATGGTGTCTTTCATAAGTTTAGAATCTTTTTGCTTACTTTTGCCTGGAGTGCCTCTGAATTTCTTCACAAGGCCTCTTCAGGGACTGGTTCATTGTCCAGGCCCTCAAGGGAACCGATCTCTGTTTAGATTTCTGGAGCTCGTTCCTCTGTAGCTAGCTTCCCCTTCTCCAGGATAGACATGTTCCAGTTGCACAGTTTCCCAGAGCTCTCATTTTTATCTCTTTAACTTTTTGAGATTGTTTTGCTGTGTTTGGGTCTCCTTTCTTGTACTGCAGTCTGAACAGCGTTGTCCTAACAGAGAGCTGTGACTTTTTATGTGCCCTTGGTACCTCATTTCTTGCTTATTATTACTCTGTGGTTTTTCAGTTTTTATCATTATCTTTTGTTTTCTACTTGTTTCCTGTACAACAGTTAGAGAGCCCATTTCTTTTCCCTTATTGTTCCCATTTTTTGAGATGTATTAATTTTACGCTTTCAGAGCGTTTAGCATGTATATATTCTTCTATCTTCCCCATCTTTGTTTTTAGTTTTAGATTTGTAGTTGGTTGTATCAGTCCTTTTGCCAGACGTTGCCCTGTCACCTCCTTGCTGGATAGAGCTCCTCCCGTGATACCTTTCCCAAGAAGGGCTCATGTGTTTAGTGTTTCTTTGGTTCCTATGTGTTTAAAGCGTTTTTTTTTATACCTTGTATCCTTGAAGAACAACTTGGCTGGGTATTATCCTTGAGGCCCTAGGATATTTTTCTTCATCTTTTTTTTTTTTTTTTCTTGAGAGAGAGAGTGGGAGGGCAAATGAACGTGTGAGTGGTGGGGAAGGGCAGAGGGAGAGGGAGAGAGATCATCTCAAGCAGACTCTGAATTGGCACTGAGCGTAGAGCCCAATGTGGGGCTCTATCTCCCCACCCTGAGATCATGACTTGAGCTGAGACCAAGAGTTGGATGCTCTACCAACTGAGCCACTCAAGCCCCCCAGGCATGTTGTAATTTAGTCTTTATTACTGATAGAACTTTCTTCCTTCCTTTTCTTTCTTGACTTTTAATTATATCTTACTTCATTCCTTCATATTTGTTGTCCGTTTGATGTGAGTTTTTGAGTTTTAGATATATGGTGTTTGTCTCATTCCCCAAATACTTGAGTATTATGTTACAGTTTTCTTCAGTTTGGTAGTTGTTTTCTTTGGGGAAATTTCATTTATTGTAATGTTTTGGTACTTATTTTCTCTTTTAGTCTTATAGTAGCTTTGCGCAGATGGAGGTGACTTTCTGTGTGCAGTTTGTAGGTAAGGTTGGTAGTTTGTGATAGTTTAGAAGATAATCTCATTATGAAATTCAAGATTGCCCTCTTCTGTCATTGAGGCAAAGTGCATTTTCTTTGAGATGTCTTTTGGAATGGGACATTGTTGGGAGCCATTTTATTAAAAACATTTTTTTCATTCTCTTTATCTTAAGTTTCCTCTCTTCTTTTTTTCTACATTTTCCAGTGTTGAAAGGGGACATCTTTGTTTTATAATTTTCTCCCCTAGAAATGTTTCCTTACTGGATTGTCACTTGGAGGCCTGTATGCTTCTAGTTCTTTTCTTTGTAATCAGTGCTCTAATCTTTCCATATTCTCCTCTTTCCTTAAGGGGGACTTTCTGGAAGTGATTTTTCTTTTCCTCTTCTCTCTTCCACACTGCTTCTGTGTTTGCCTTCTTACCCCTGCCACTCTCTACAGTAGCTTTGAGAGGGTTCTCAAGAAGTAGCTCTGCTGGAAATCAGTGTTTATTCTTCTGCTTAGAGCAATATGAACTTGATGGTGTTCCCCATCTTTGGTTATACCGTAGGCTTGGGACTTATGTAGTTTTATTTGTACTTCGTGTTGCTCTTTATGCTTTTTTTGAGCATGTGAGGATTTGGGAAGTACAAATAACTGAGTCTTTTTATTTAGCATTTAGTTGGATTTGATACAATTTTTTTTTTTTTTTTTTTTTAATTCATGAGAGACACAGAAAGAGAGAGGCAGGGACATAGGCAAACAGAGAAGCAGGCTTCTTGCAAGGAGCCCAATATGGGAGTCGATCCCGGATCCCGGGATCATGCCCTGAGCCAATGGCAGATGCTCAACCACTGAGCCACCTAGGCATCCCGGACTTGATACAATTTTTAAAAATAAAATTAAGAAGAATTAATTTACTGAAATGTAGAAGATCCTCTCACATATAATACACAAGTAAGGCAATTTATGCTGTCTTTCTTACTTGTGTATGTATGTGTATGTTTGTGAGTTTTAGTGATCCTTGTATCTAGACAGAGATGAGACAAAAAAGATTTTAGCTTTACTTCTGAAAGTTGAAATATGAATATCTGTCAAAATATTTAGAAAGCAGTCCTTGAACAGTATTCCTTATTATTTGGAGAATGGTTATTTTGCATTCTGATTGAATTTAGTTAAGCATTCATTTCCTTGACTTTGGTCTTGTCTCACAATGGCTCTTTTATGCCTTTGCTTCCTCTGCCATCTATAGGAGGCAATGCTAACATTGAAATAATATGAAAATTTTCATATTCCTTTAATAGGATTTCTTTAGGTAAATTTTTTTTTTCCATTTATAGGAATGATATCTGTGGGGTGAGAATACTAGTACTAATCTTAAAACTTGGTTGTCTTCTGCTTGTGTGCTAAAGCTCAAGTGTGCTTCCTGTGGCCATCTCCAGTGACCTTGAGGAGAAATCAAAAAGGAGGAACCAGAAAACCAGTTAAACTGAGATAGGCAGGCAGTATTTTTAAATAATCAAATATATAAAAACATAATGTATTAAGATGACCCAAGGGCCTTTCTCGTGTCTATGTGGAAATTAGAAAACCTAAATTTTACATTTGTAACAAATTGTACCTTATGACAGGCAAGTATTTGGAGAACTGCTGGCAAACATTGTTCCCCCTCCCTCTTTCATTTATGTGATCCCCTATGGCTGACAAGCATCAGGGCACTTCTTCAATGCAATCTGAGCCTATGATAAGTAAGATAATGAATAAAGCATTTACTAACCCACTTTGAGCCTGGCTTTTTTTCAGTTGCTAGTACCTTTTAAAATAATAATGATAGCTCACATTTATTGAGGTATTAATATTTATCAAGGATAATGCTTTGTAAGAGATGTACTCACCTTTCAGTTTATTAAATGAGGAAATTGAGGCTCAGGGTGATAAGGAAACTTGCCTGTTATTGGCAGAGCTGGATCTGAACCTGGGTCTGTCTGGTGTCAAAAACCCTGATCCATCATGTGTTGGACAGCTTCCCCTTCAGGCTCTGAAATGTATCTTTGTTTTCATTTGTATGCAGCACAGTCATGTATATTTGCCTAGTGTTTTAGTATTTTTCTAAATGCTTTCTAAATATTATCATTTAATCTTCCAACATATTATATAGAATCTGGCAAGTCACCTGTCTGTGATAATTGTTGATTTGTGTTTAGTTATTTTTAGAAGGTAATATAAAGGGAACAGTGTGTTGAGTAATTGAGAAAATAAATAATTTATAGAACTAGTATATGGGGTGATGGAGAAGAGAAAGCTTATTAAAACTGTACAAAGCATATTAAAAAAGAAATGACATTTTCCTTAGGTGTTATAGAAAACATTGTTTTGTAAAATTTGTTAAAAAAAGAATAATCAATAATTGAAAATAATAAGAACCTGGTAATTAAGAAACTTAAATATGCTGACATGAGGAGTCTTTACTCAGCATTTCAGTAGTCTTGGAAAGCCTAACGTAGCAATTCATGAGAAAGGGCAAAAGTACTGAGGCAGATCCAGGGGGGTCAGAGTTAAAAGAGATATACGAAATACTTACTGTTGGCTGTGAATCTCTCCCATTTACTAAAAAGTACTCTCTAGTTTGAATGGTAAACAAGCTAAATGCTGGAAGCTGTGATTACTTTTTACCTATTTTCTGTATCTTTCTGCTTGTCCTGCCTTGTAGAAGTAAAGAAGTGATAGGAAAATCTGGACTAAGCAGAAATTTCATCTTGATGGCAACCTGTTGGTCTGTTTACTTGTAGGATAAGCTCCTGCTCAGGATTTTAGGGTACAAGGAGAGGGAAAGTTGGTGGTAGTCTTTGATGTTTATATGTCTGGTATTGGTTTATAGGCTTCATTTGAAAGTGCCCCGTTAAGAAAGTTGGCCTAAATTTTGCTTGGTTAGAAGAGGCTATAAACATCTACGTTATCTTCATTGTGCTTTTTTTTTTTTTAATTTTTATTTTTTAAAAGATTTTATTTATTTGCGAGAGAGCGCAAGAGAGACCACTACGACGAGCAGGAGTGAGGGGGAGAGGGAGAGTTTCCGCTGGGCAGGGAGCAGGGCTCCATCCCAGGACCTTGGGATCATGACCTGAGCTGAAGGCACACTTAATGTACTGAGCCACCCAGGCTCCCCTTCATTGTGTTTTAATGAGAGTAGATTGATGGATTCATTTCAGTGACTTCCTCCTTAGTTAGTGTAATGATGCTTAATACCCAGATGTGGTTTGAGGCTCCCCCTCCCATTATCTCACGGGTTCCCTCCTCCCCGGCCAAATTCAGTGGCAGGTAATACAAAAAGCATTTGATTTACAATTCATCTTTCTGTGGTAGAAATGGTTATTTTTCAACCAGAGCTTCACTTACAATATGTTTCTTACATAGTAACCAATAGTATTTCCTGTTTTTTTCTTACTGTATACTCAGAAACTAGTTACTGAGAATAGCTAGTTACTTTTATAAATCTTTTTCTGCAGGCTGCTTTGTACCGCCTCAGTGGCGACTGGAATCCCTTACACATTGATCCCAACTTTGCTGGTTTCGCAGGTAAAATTGCTTATGATACGTACGGATGAAATCTACTAGCTCGGTGATCTAAATAACGCTTAGAGATCTTGCTACTTATGAGAGTTAGTTTGAGTAAGATTTTAAAAATAGTCCTCTCCTAATACATTTATGCCAAGGATAAGGAAGGGCAGGAAATCGTGTTCAGAAGATGGTGTGCTTAGCGTTGATAATTGAGATTGTGGAGGACGTAAGCTGGTGCAGGGCTTAGGACCGATCAGATCCTGTGAGTGGATGTGTGAGTGATCCTGACAGCCAGGGGCGTTGGAGGAGTGAGAAGGAACTGAAAAGTGAGGGAAGGATTGTCTGCATACACGGATGTTGAAATCGGTATGGGTGATTTCATGGTTTCAGGCACAGCTAAACAGAAAAATTCTTTGTGTTCTCACATCTTTAGCATTCCTTTCTTATTTCCTCTGTTTATTTCATAGTTTTTTTCCCCACATGTATTATTTTACAAACTATTTTTCATGTTTCTTAAAGTAGATGCTATAATTCATCCATGTGCTCTTTGAAATCCTGAATTAATTATTCTTGGCTTTTAAACAGGAAATGTGCCTATATCTAACCAAATTCTCTTTGTTTTTTTTTTTTTTTTAGGTTTTGACAAGCCCATATTACACGGATTGTGTACATTTGGATTTTCTGCCAGGCATGTTTTACAGAAATTTGCAGATAACGATGTGTCGAGATTCAAAGCAATTAAGGTATATTATTACATAATTTGAACATTAGTTCCTCTTTTTATTTTTAGAGAAGGAAAGGAGTTTTAGTGACTTCATTTAATCTAGGCACTGTACTGAAGCAATATAATTTCTCTTATTTCATGAACATGGCAATCAGCATGTATTCCTTTTAGCTATAAATACCTCTGACAGTGTACCATGAAGGGTATCATATGCAATTATATATATATATATATATATATATATATATATTTATTTATTTATTATTTTATTGGAGTTCGATTTGCCAACATATAGCATATCACCCAGTGCTCATCCTCTCAAGTGCCCCACTCAGTGCCCATCACCCAGTCACCCCTTCCCCCCACCCACCTTCCCTCCCATTACCCCTTGTTTGTTTCCCAGAATTAGGGGTGTCTCATGTTCTATCAACCTCTGATATTTTCACTCATTTTCTCTCCTTTCCCCTTTATTCCCTTTCACTATTTTTTATATTCCCCAAATGAATGAGACCATATAATGTTTGTCCTTCTCCGATTTACTTACTTCAATATTCCATCCCTTTCTTTTTTTTTTTAACACAACTCTCGGCTCCTTTTTTTTAATTTTTTTTTTATGTTTTATTTATGATAGTCACACACACAGAGAGAGAGAGAGAGAGAGAGGCAGAGACACAGGCAGAGGGAGAAGCAGGCTCCATGCACCGGGAGTCCGACGTGGGATTCGATCCCAGGTCCCCAGGATCGCGCCCTGGGCCAAAGGCAGGCGCCAAACCACTGCGCCACCCAGGGATCCCCTATTCCATCCCTTTCTATCTTTTGGAACAGCTTTAGTAGAATAGATATTGTTTCTTCTTTAAACGTTTGATAGAATTCCACTGGGAAGCCATCTGGCCCTGGACTTTTGTGTCTTGGGAGGTTTTTGATGACTGCTTCAGTTTCCTCCCTGGTTATCGACCTATTCAGGTTTTCTATTTCTTCCTGTTTCAGTTTTGGTAGTTTGTGGTTTTCCAGAAATGCATCCATTTCTTCTAGATTGCCTAATTTATTGGTGTATAGCTGTTCATAATATGTTTTTAAAATCGTTTGTATTTCCTTGGTATTGGTGGTGATCTCTCCTTTTTCATTCGTGATTTTATTGAGTCTTTTTTGTTTTTAATAAGGCTGGCTAATGGTTTATCTATCTTATTAATTCTTTCAAAGAACCAACTCCTGGTTTTGTTGATCTGTTCCACAGTTCTGGTCTCTATTTCATTGAGTTCTGCTCGAATCTTTATTAGCTCTCTTCTTCTGCTGGGTATAGGTTTTATTTGCTGTTCTTTCTCCAGTTCCTTCAGGTGCAAGGTTAGCTTTTGTATTTGAGTTTTTTCTAGGTTTTTGAGGGTTGCTTGTATTGTGATGTATTTCCCTCTCAGGACTGCTTTTGCTGTATCCCAAAGATTTTGAACAGTTGTATCTTCATTCTCATTAGTTTCTGTGAATCTTTTAAATTCTTCTCTAATTTCCTGGTTGTCCCTTTCATTTTTTAGCAGGATGGTCTTTAACCTCCATGTTTGAATTTCTTCCAAATTTCTTTTTGTGATTTAGTTCTAGTTTCAAACCATTACAGTCTGAAAATATGCAGGGGACAATCCCAATCTTTTGGCATCGGTTGAGTCCTGATTTGTGACCCAGTATGTGGTCTCTTCTGGAGAAAGTTCCATGTGCAATTGAGAAGAATGTGTATTCAGTTGCGTTTGGATATGAAGTTCTCTAAATATCTGTGAAATCCATCTGGTCCAGTGTATCATTTAAAGCTCTTGTTTCGGGCAGCCCCAGTGGCCCTGTGGTTAGTGCCGTCTTCAGCCCAGGGTGTGATCCTGGAGTCCCGGGATCGAGTCCCACATCGGGCTCCCTGCATGGAGCCTGCTTCTCCCCCTGCCTGTGTCTCTGCCTCTCTCTCTCTCTCTCTCTCTCTCTCTCTGTGTGTGTGTTTGTCATGAGTGAATGAGTAAAATCTTTAAAAAAAAAAAAATCTCTTGTTTCTTTGGAGATGTTGTGCTTAGAAGATCTGTCAATTACAGAAAGTGCTGTGTTGAAGTCTCCCAGTATTAGTGTATTATTATCTAAGTATGTCTTAACTTTGGTTATTAATTGATTGATATACTTGGCAGCTCCCACATTAGGAGCATAAATATTCATGCTCCTAATGAATAGGATAGATCTCGTGGATAGATCCTTTAAGTATGATATAGTGTCCCTCTTCATCTATTACTACAGTCTTTGGGATAAACTTTCATTTATCTGATATAAGGATGGCTACCCCAGCTTTCTTTTGAGGACCGTTTGAATGGTAAATGGTTCTCCACCCTTTCATTTTCAGGCTGGAGGTGTCCTGAGGTCTAAAATGAGTCTCTTGTAGACAGCAACTAGATGGGTCTTGCTTTTTTATTAAGTCTGAAACCCTGCACCTTTTGATGGGATCATTAAGCCTATTCACGTTCAGAGTTACTATTGAAAGATGTGAATTTAGTGTCATCGTAGTACCTATTCAGTTCCTGTTTTTGTGGATTGTTTCTTTGGACTTCCTCTTTCTTTTACAGAGTCCCCCTTAATATTTCTTGCAGAGCTGGTTTGGTGGTCATATATTCTTTCAGTTTCTGCCTATCTTGGAAGCTCTTTATCTCTCCTTCTATTCTGAATGAGAACCTTGCTGGATAGAGTATTCTTGACTGCAGGTTCTTCTCATTTAGGACCCTGAATATATCCTGCCAGCCCTTCCTGGCCTGCCAGGTCTCTGTGGAGAGGTCTGCTGTTAACCTAATACTTCTCCTCATATAAGTTAGGGATATCTTGTCTCTTGCTGCTTTAAGGATCTTCTCTTTATCTTTAGAATTTGCAAATTTCACTATTAAATGTCGGGGTGTTGAATGATTTTTATTGATTTTAGGAAGGGATCTTTCTATTTCCTGGATCTGAATGCCTGTTTTCCTCCCCAAATTAGGGAAGTTCTCAGCTATGATTTGTTCAAATATACTTTCTGGCCCTCTGTCCCTTTCGGCGCCCTCTGGAACCCCAATTAAACATAGATTTTTCCTTCTGAGGCTGTCATTTATTTCCCTTAACCTTTCCTCATGGTCTTTTAATTGTTTTTCTCTTTTTTCCTCAGCTTCCTTCCTTGCCATCAACTTGTCTTCTGTGTCACTCACTCGTTCTTCTACCTCATTAACCCTCGAGGTGAGGACCTCCAGTTTGGATTGCATCTCATTTAATTCATTTTTAATTTGAGCCTGATTAGATCTAAATTCTGCAGTCATGAAGTCTCTTGAATCCTTTATGCTTTTTTTCTAGAGCCACCAGTAGCTTTGTAATAGTGCTTCTGAATTGGCTTTCTGACATCGAATTATAATCCGAATTCTGTAACTCTGGGAGAGAGTACTATTTTTGATTCTTTCTTTTGTGATAAGTTCTTCTTTCTAGTCATTTTGCTCAGTGCAGAGTGACTAGAAGCAAGTTGTACTGCAAAAAGGAAGGAAAAAAAGGGAAAAAACAAAAACAAAAAACCAAGAACAAAAAACAAAAACAAAATAAGGAGGGGTATCCTTTGGTTCTTTATACTGTAAATCCCTCGACTTCCCCTGGAGCTCTCCAGTGCTGCTTGGTCAAGAACTTGCTCTTCCCTGGTCCTTCCAGCTGGCCTTCTGGGGGAGGGGCCTGTGGTGCTGATTCTCATGTGTGTGTACCTGGGGGAGCCGCCCAGCCCCCTGCCAGGTGCATGGCTCAGTGGGAGCTGTTTATCCTGTGAGGCCTCTGTTCCCTGGTGGCCCGACCCTCCCAGGCACAGGGTGACACCAGAAGAGCAACCACAGTAGCGGTGGCCAGCTCTCCAGCCCTAGAGTCTGCTCTCCCAGTAACTACCACAGTCTCCCAGTCTGCACTGGCCTGGATGCTCCGGGGGGCAGGAGGCACTGACCTGCACAGCTTGCAGGTGCCCGTTGGCAGGAGCATCCTTGCTGTCCTATGCTCTCCCAGCCTTTGCCTGTCCCTCGGGGAGTGCAGGATCCTAGACTGTGTCCCCCGGCACCCTGGGATCCTGGCCATGCGCTGTTGGAATCCACTCCTGGGGCTGCGCAGCCCCCTCTGCGCGGAGCTGCCACCTGAGCTGCTCCCAAGGCCCCGCCGGGTGTGTGCTCCAGCCCTTTACTGTGCTCTGTCCAGGGTATGTGGCACACTCTCCATCTGGCGCACCTCCTCTGTTAGTGACCCTGCCGACCTGGGGGCTCCATTGCCCCTCTTGGGATCCTGCCCGAGTTCCCTGTGAGCGCCTTTCCATCTGGGAAGATTGTTAAAGTTCCTGCTTCTCCGGGGCTGGGCTTTCCTGTCCTGGAGGCTCTCGCCACCCGGCCTTAGCCTGGCTCCTCATGGGGGCCCCTCCACCTCTGGATTCTTCTTTATTTATATTTTTTCCCTCTTCCTACCTTGTTAGAAGCACGAACTCTTCTCTCTGTAGCGTTCCAGCTGTTCTGTCTTTAAATCTCAGACCGAATTTGTAGGTTTTCAGGATGATTTGTAAGTTATCTAGGTAAGTTGGCGGGGACAGGTGACTTGGGGACCCTACTCTTCCGCCATCTTGCCCCACCCCCCGCAATTATAATTTCAACGGATTAATTAGATTGTTTTATAATATTAGGAGCAGACATGTGTTAGTATATACACATTAATAGAAAGTTCAGATTTACCTTAACATTTTTTTTTTCGGGACATCTTGGTGGCTCAGCGGTTAAGTGTTTGCCTTGTGCTCAGGGCCTGATCCGGAGTCCTGGGATTGAATCCCAACATCGGGCTCCCTGCATGAAGCCTGCTGCTCTCTCTGCCTATGTCTCTGCCTCTCTATCTCTTGGTGTCACTCATGAATAAATAAAAAAAATCTTTAGAAAAAAATTTTTTCATTGTTTTTTAATTTGCCCTACCTTAATTAAATAGCTAAGTGGCTGCATTTGAACTCTTAGAAACTACACCTAAATTAGCATGACAGCTGCATGTTGATTTTAGTTTTTGTACTTTTAAATTGGTTTCGTGTTCTCATCCATTGCAAATTAAAAAACCCTCTTATCTCTGCACATAGTATCTTTGCAGAGGTGTACATCAGAAGGTAGACACTGAAAATAAAGTTTGAGACTGTGTCAAATAGCTCCAAGTGCTTTTATCAATTTGTGCTCCATGCAGCGGTGAAAATGCATTTTCTGATGTTTTGCCTTAAATAGCACTGATTATTTTCATGCTTTTCATTTTGTTAGAACTACTTTTATTATTATGTAATAGTATGTACATAGAGCAAATACAGTTGGTATAGAAAATGATGAAATAAAAAGTGGAATTATTTTATCCCGCATGCCATCCAGATTTTATTTCCCGCACATACTTATTTATCACTTCCAACTGCATCCTTTGAGTTGTTCTAGGGGCTCGCTGTCTCACTGTCCTTCATATGAGGATGCATGCTTCTGTTTCTTGACTTGTCAAGATTAAAGACTCTTTATTGACTCTGTTTTGAAATATAAATTAGCTTATACTGACTATATCCATTGTCTGATTGTATCTTACTATTTTTGTTCCTTTATGAATGTAAATGTATTTAAACCTCTTTTCTTCCTTTTTTTTTCTTTTCTTCCTTTTATATTCTCTGATGTCCACCTGAATTTCTTTCCCCACAAGTAGCAAGGTTGCATTTTATTTTTTTATTTTATTTATTTTATTTTATTTTTTTGCAAGGTTGCATTTTAAAACATTTTTAACACTCATACACTCATTTCTTTTTAAAGGTTCGTTTTGCAAAACCAGTATATCCGGGACAGACTCTTCAAACTGAGATGTGGAAGGAAGGAAATAGAATCCATTTCCAAACCAAGGTATGAGTAATATGGTTAGAAGTTCCTTGTTTTGTTACCACCTCACCACAGCCTATAACCATGGTCCATCTTAGAGTGTTCTTTTGGTTAGTGCTATGGGTATGATGGAAAACCTAGAAGGTTTTTGGTTTTTTTAAGACTTAATTTATTAAGAGAGAGCAAGCGAGAGAGCACAGGAGCAAGGGGAGGGGCAGTGAGAGAAAGAGAATTCTGAAGCAGACTCTGTGCTGAGCACAGAGCTCTACGTGGGATGGGGCTTAATGCCAAGACCCTAAGATCATGGCCTGAGCTGAATCAAGAGTTAGCTGCTTAACCAACTAAGCTGCCCTTAGCAAGTTTTTTTTTTTTTTTTTTTTAATCATTGGTACCTTTTAATCGAAAATAAGATGGCTATGTACCTTTTCTTTTATTTGTTTTAGTTTTTACTAAATTGGTGCCTGGCTCTGTAGGAGTGGCACAGCTGTTTTGAAAACCCAGCCAACCATAACTTTTTGGCTCAACAATCAATCTAATTATTGTCAAAATATAATCTTCAGACTATTAAAGGCATAGCTCTCACACAGATATAAAATGAAAATATGACAACTCTGTTTAATTGCTTAATGAGGGAGCTGGCAAGATGATAAATCTGGTTCAAAAGAAAATTAGAGCGACAGTGTTTATATGGTCCAGCAGGTGCTGCTCTCCATGAATTTTACTGAATTAGAGGCAGAACTAGTTAATGTTCTATAGAAGAGTAAAGCCATACCCTTTATGGTTCCTTTTTCTACTGGATAGAAATCACGTGCATCTTGATCACACTAAAATCCAGAAATTAACACCTTATGTCACAGAGTTTGGGCCTAATTAAAAAGTAAGTGACAGGATAGAAAAATAAGTATGTCTCCTTAAAGAGTTACGTCATCAGGGATCCCTGGGTGGCGCAGCGGTTTGGCGCCTGCCTTTGGCCCAGGGCGCGATCCTGGAGACCCGGGATCGAATCCCACATCGGGCTCCCGGGGCATGGAGCCTGCTTCTCCCTCTGCCTATGTCTCTGCTTCTCTCTCTCTCTCTCTCTCCCTCTCTGTGACTATCATAAATAAATAAAAATTTAAAAAAAAATCAGTGAAACTTCAGAACATTTAAAAAAAAAAAGAGTTATGTCATCATTGGGTGGGCTGTTAGCAGCGTTCCAGTAAAACACTCAAAGGATGTGCCATTATCCCTTTACTTATAAGACTTTTAAAGATAGTTTTTGTTAACGTGGTTGACCAGGCTGGTACTTCTTTGGCCCAATCATTTTGTACTACTCAGTTGGTTTGTGCTGAGCAGTGTAGACACCACCATGAATAATAATAGTGGCTATTCGATACCTCTGAACAGGCTATACCATCATCTCTATATTCAATAGAAGAAAATCTAGATTCAGTTCTCTATCATCATCTCTAAATTCAGTAGAAAAAAATCAGCAAATACTTACTCATGGTCACACGGTAAGGGATCAATCTGGGGTGTGAACCCAGGTCTTCCTGGCTTAAAGCCTCAATCCCAGAGCCCTCGCTCTTCTTACTGTATCACAGTTTCTTTTATAAATAAATAACTTTGCAAAACTCTTCTTTATGTGGTACTCCTCACTAATTCCTGCAGCTTGCAAGGTGACTTTCCTGCTTCATTTGTATATACTCTTTATTTCACATTGCCTCCTGCCCTTTTATAAAAAAAATTTTCGTTTATTTATTTGAGAGCGAGACAAAGGGAGAGAGAGCACAGAGGGGAAGGGAGAGGGAGAAGCAGACTCCCCGCTGAGGAGGGAGCCCAATGTGGGGTTCAATGTCAGGACCCTGGGATCATAACCTGAGCTAAAGGCAGATGCTCAACCGACTGAGCCACCCAGGCAGGCTCCCATGGCCTCTTCTCTTTTCAGCTTCCTTTAACTGCTCCCTTGCCCTTAGAGGCAATCCTTTATGACTCCCTCCCCTTTTCCTGCCCCTACAAACTGGCATATTGCCTTTCTGTGAAATTGTCTTGCAGTTAAATGTTTGTGTCACCTATTTTGGAGCCATCCTATTGTCTCATTATTTTGAGTAAGTCTTATTTTTTTAGTAGGAGGATGAAATCTATAAGTATTAAGGTCTATGACCACATTATAGATTTTTTTTCCTCTGTTGTAGTAATGAACAACATAGAAATAATTTCCACGGATACAGACTTACAGGGCTGAGAAATAATTTAATATCTAAATACAGTACCTTCTTGCCATAAATTCTTTTTTTTTTTTAAGTTTTTTTTAATTAATTATTTATTTATTTATGATAGTCACACAGAGAGAGAGAGAGAGGCAGAGACACAGGCAGAGGGAGAAGCAGGCTCCATGCACCGGGAGCCTGATGTGGGATTCGATCCCGGGTCTCCAGGATCGCGCCCTGGGCCAAAGGCAGGCGCTAAACCTCTGCGCCACCCAGGGATCCCCTTGCCATAAATTCTAAGCATATCGTCCCATCTTTTCACTATATTTCCCTCCCCTCCCAGTGATTAGAGGCCCTCTTTCCCATCAGTTATATGTAGGAATCCTGCTTTCCTTCCTTTCCTCCTTATTTCCCTCATGTTGTATCTTAAGAAACATTTTAAACTAATGTTCCAAAACGACCTGCTTGGCTTGGTTACAAGAAAGTAATATACTAAAGTGTATTTTGTTCATAAATTGTCCCTTTCCATGCTTTGGCTCTATACATAATTAGAAACAAAATGAGCAAATTGAAAGATTTTTTTTCTAAAGTATGATGGTGTGTAGTCAAGGGAGAATGACCTCAGTTCTTAAAAAAAAATCAATTTTAATAAATGCTGCCTCAATTTTTACACCCCATTCTGCACATTTGTAGCAATACTATAATTTTATGAAAGAGTAGCCATTGGAATAATTTTAGATGAAGTATTAGAGATTAGAATTTGATTTCCTTTCATGAGTATTTTGATGAAAGTCTAAGCATTTAGTTTATGCTGTGTACCCTTCCTATTTGAAATAACTAGAATTATTACTTTAAATTATTTAAATTACTTTAAATTACTACTGTGGTCTGTTCCTAGGGATTTTATTCTCTCTGAGTAGAACAGATGCACCACTGCCTCATATGGATATTGTGCCATGCCTTGTACTGTTTATAAGAATTCAGCAATTCTCATTCTGGTTCACCATTAGACACATGTAGGTTTAAAAAATAATTTCCCCAAATACCAATGCCAGGTATCCACCCCACGCCATTTAAATTAGAAGTTTTGGAGATGGGACCTGGTCATAGGTATTTTTTAAAAGGGTGCCAGTTGATTCTACAGTTAGGGTTAATAACAGTTGTATTAAAACAGCAAGCTTCATGTTTATTCATCTTGACATTTAATTTATAAACTTCATGTAATTTGGTTAATTTTCTTTTTGTTATGAGGAAAAATTGCAATTTTCTTTTAAATGACTGTATACTATTTAGCAATGATACTGTGTTTTCATTGGAATCATCTGAGTAAACTGTTTTTTTTCCCCCTCTCATATCTCTTTTAAGATCCAAGAAACTGGAGATATTGTCATTTCAAATGCATATGTGGATCTCCTGCCAACATCTGATACTTCAGCTCAGACACCCCCTGAGGTGGGTTATAGAAACTGATGTAGGTCATTTCCTGATGTATGAATTTTAGTTAAGATTACTTCTAGAATGTTTGGGCTGCTTTAGAAAATTAAGAACTGCATAAGATTCTTAAATCTTGAAGGATGTTAATCCGAAACTACTTCAAGTAAAAGTAATATTTTGACAACTTAGGGATTTTTTAAACTGTTTTTTTAGGGAGATACTGGGGTCCTTTTCAAGAGAATATAATTTTCTCATTTTAGAGTAACTGAATCAATTGTCTAATGAAAAATCTTAAGCTAACAATATTTTGGAAAAAAATAGATGAAAAAGCTAAATATCCTGTACCTTTGCTTGATTTAAAGATTGGTGTAAAGTGTATACACATATCAAAACAATAGCATGTATTATTTATTATAACATTTCTGTTAGTCTCTATTTACATAAGGAGGCTTTTAATAAAAAATGTTTATATTCTCAGTCTTCAAAATAGTAACTTTGTAGTATTGAGGTTCTCAGACTCATGATTTTTAATTGTCTGTCATAAGCTATATCATCACATAAATGACTGAAGATTAAGATTGCTTACGAAGAATCCTAGATCAGAAACTTCAGAAGTGTTAGAGCTACAAGGAGGTGTGGTCTTTTTTTTTTTTTAAGGAGGTGTGGTCTTTACGTAACATAATCCCTTTTTACAAAGAGAGAAATGAGACCACAGAAGTTGGCCGATTTGTCCAGTATCTTCCTGCTCAAGTTTTGTTAGGACATAGGTTGTTTAGTTCCTAGTGTACTTTAAAAATATTTCTGTGATAGACTTATTTCGCTTAGCATAATATCCTCTAGTTCCATCTACGTCATTGCAAATGGCAAGATTTTATTTTTTTTTTTGATGACAAAACAGAGGGGAGAAAAATAAAACGAGATGAAATCAGAGAGGGAGACAAACCATAAAAGACTTTGAATCATGGGGAACAAACTGAGGGTCGCTGGGAGGGAGGAGGGTAGGGGGATGGGGTAACTGGGTGATGGGGATTAAGGAGGGCACTTGAGGGGATCCCTGGGTGGCTTAGTGGTTCAGCGCCTTCCTTTGGCCCAGGGTGTGATCCTGGAGTCCAGGGATCGAGTCCCACATCGGGCTCCCTGCATGGAGCCTGCTTCTCCCTCTGCCTGTGTCTCCGCCTGTCTCTCTCTCTTATCTATCATGAAAAAATAAATAAAAATATTAAAAAAAAAGGAGGGCACTTGATGGGATGAGCACTTGATGCTATGTAAGACTGATGAGTCACTGACCTCTACCTCTGAAATCAATAATACGTGTGTTAATTAATTGAATTTAAATAAAATTAAAAAAATTATTTCTGAATGCTGATAAAAGTAGAATCTTCTATTAAGATTGAGGTTCTGGATGACATGAATTAACATACAGAAAGTGTAAAAGAAGCCTGGCATGGAAAAAAATGACTTTGCCTTATTTTTATGCAGATTTAAAGGAAAATCACTTCGTTGTGCATAAATTTTGTAATCATTTTTCCCCTTGAGTCATTTTTACAAAGTTTTTCAAGTTAAATTTTTCTTTTGACTAGGGTGGGGAGCTCCAGAGTACCCTGGTATTTGAGGAGATAGGTCGCCGCCTTAAGGATATTGGGCATGAAGTGGCAAAGAAAGTAAATGCTGTATTTGAGTGGCATATCACTAAAGGTGGACACATCGCAGCCAAGTGGAGTAAGTCACATCCCTGATTTTATACGATTCCAAGGTAACTCTTTGTAAATAGAAAGTATCCTTTATCCTTTAAAGCCTGTCTCATCGAAGGTTGGTAAACCCTGTCTTTTCATGGGGAATACCCCGTTTCAGGGCATTCAGAGATGCGTGTGCTTTTCAGAGATGTAAAGAATCCATTAAAAGAAAATACCTAGTTTAAAGACTTCATCGTAGTACCCGAAAGTAGTACTTTTAAACAGTCATGTTAGTTATCTGGTTCTTTTGTCTTGAAGTACCCCCAACATGAAAAGTAAATTCATCAGGTGAAATATTCTTAAGTTATTACATTTTGACACTTTTAAAGCTGTTTTCTTCATCCTCAAATATTAATAATTTGGATTATCACCTTAATTATCAGATTTCTATTTAAGACTGCCTATTTGAGTGCCTTGGAAATCCATTTGTTATATTCTTCACTACAGCTAAAGATCACTATAAATGCTCACTTAGAGCAGAAAATAAAAATATATCTCTGAATCAATGGAAACTTTTTGAAATAGTCTTCCATTTGTTACATATTTCTAGAAAAACATATTGAAGTTTTATTAAACTGATTTTGGATCAATATTTACAGCCTTCTTTTTAATATAACAATTGTGGTTTCTTCTAAGCAGTGTATCTTTATGACCTGTAATCTGATATATAAAGGTATAAAGAAGAAAATGATGTATATAATTTCACTACCCACAGTTGACATTTTGATGTTTGTTCTGAAAGACACTGTTCTTCTAGGACGTCAATCAGAAGGGTGTGAGGGGGTCAGAGAAAGGCAGAAATGTTAGTAGGTATTTAGTCCCCCAAATTTCAAAATGTCTAATTTTTTTCTAAAGAATTTCATACGTGAACACTGTGTGTGCAAGTGTTACCATGTGCCTTTCTTTGTTCTTTCTGTCTTTCCATGATGCAGGTCAATTTTTTCCCTAGGGATTAACGTATATTAGAAGTTGAGTTATGCATACAAAGCACAGGGTTTTTGAAGGTACTAGTAGAGGAGAGGAATGAGGTCTGCAAGAGTGAGAGGAGGTGCTAAAACCGTGTCTCACAAGTAGCAGACCAGAACCCTGTGTAGTGATTTGCACAGTATACATGTGATTCACTTGTGGCAAGGAGGGTAATCTCCTTCAGTATAGAGTTGGTAGCTAACTCAGATTTTCCCTTTGTCTTGGTGACACTTTCCTTGTATTAGAAAATGTGCTTCCCTTTGCAGGTGACCTTTAATTAACTTAGGAGAAGAGTTTTTCCTGACATTTCCACTGGAGAAATGAGAATATCAATATCCTGTTAATAGCTACTCATTGTCGATACCCCTTGTGGCTTTTGCTTGTTTTATCATCTCTTCTGTGGGGCCTTAGTTATTAAAGCTCATTGTCACGTCAGATCTGAAAGCTTTCTCTAAAAGGGTTCACCATTCCCTTTGGTTGTCGGCAGTCTCAGGTATTTGACTTGATTCTCAGCTGTTGTAACTGTTTTCACTTTGGGCAGTTGTTCTCTCCAGGCTTTGTGTCACTGAGCTAAGTTGCCATGGCTGGCAGCAGCAGAAGCTGTCCAGGCCTTTTGGCTTATGGTATTTTAGAGAACCATTCCATGTTGGCATTTCTCTTTTTTGTCATGGCACTTAATAGCATGAAAATAATGAATGAATGCTTTGATTTAGGGAATATATAGCATTTTTTTAATGATTTTTTTTTAAAGATTTTATTGATTTATTCATGAGAGACACACAAAGAGAGGGAGAGTCATAGAGGGAAAAGCAGGCTCCTTGTTGGGAGCCTGATGTGGGACTTGGTCCCTAGACCCGAGATCACACCCTGAGCTTCAGAAGGTAGACGCTCAATCGCTGAGCCACCCAGGCATCCCTCATGATCAGTTTTAAAAATGTTTTGTTTAACACTTTAATTCCAAATATTTTGTATTTTATAGATTTATTTATTTTTTTTAAGATTTTATTTATTTATTCATGAGAGACGCACAGAGAGAGAGGCGGAGACATAGGCAGAGGGAGAAAAGGCTCTGTAGGGAGCCTGATGTGGAACTCGATCCTGGACCCTGGGATCACTCCCTGAGCTGAAGGTAGATGCTCAACCACTGAGCCACCCAGGTGTCCCTAGATTTATTTATTTTAGAGAGAGAGAGCACATGCAAGCCAGGGGAGGGGAAGAGAGAGAAATCCTCAAGCAGACTCCCCACTGAGTGTGGAGCCAGGAGCAGGGCTTGATCCCAGGGCCCTGAGATCATGACCTGAGCCAAAATCAGGAGTCAGAACTCTCAGCCATCTGAATGCCCCCAAATATTTTGTATTCTAAATTGATCTCAGTTGTCACAGCCTTGTTCATGTCTTGGCCGGCCAGAACTGATTTTAGGAACTAGCCTGAAGCTCCTCAGTTCACCTTGGCTGGGCTCGTGTGTCCTGAGTTGCACAAGTGACTGCAAGTGTCAGAACCCAGGGGTTTGGGCTGAGTGGCCTAGGAGGTGCATTTTAATCTATAGATCTTGGATTGTGCCTGTCTCTCCCTCCTTCTCCCGCCCTACTGTCCAAATGCCACCACCACCACCGCCACATCTCTGGGGCAGCATGTATGTTTGGGGGTGGAGAGAGTAAGGAGAGGTTATTTTTGTTTTTGTTTTTTTTTTTTTATTTTTAAAGATTTATTTATTTATTTTAGAGTGGGCAGGAGGGGCAGAGGGAGATAGAGAGGTCCAAGCAGACTCCTTGCTGAGCATGGAGTCCAACATGGGGCTCCTTTCTCACAACCCTGAGTTCATGACTTGAGCCGAAACCAAGAGCCCCATGCTAACTGGGCTGCCCTCGGCACCTTAGGGAGAGTCTTTTTTAAAAAGTGCTGAGGTTGGTGCGTGCCTTTTTTTAAAAACAGTAATGGATATTTTCTATTTAATATAAGTGAAACATTCAGGAACAGTGTGATAGTCCTGAAACCTTTTATAAATAGGCAGTATAGCTTATAATATTTATTACTGTTAATTTCTAAGGCCAGCCAGAAGTTATTGTGGTAAACCCTTTGGATCCCATTCTGTTGTTCTCAGCAAGAGTTAAAGTTCCAAGGAAATGGAAGATGACAGGGAGGCATAAAGAAGGTAAACAATCAGAGGCTTTATGTGGCCCAAAGAATTGCCTGCTCCTGAAAATTAAAACACAGCTTCTTCTTTCATTGATTCCAGAAACCAAAGAGTTTAAAAATGGAAGGGTTTTTGGTTGTTTTTTTTTTTTTTTTTTCCCTCCTAACTCACTGATGGCAAAGCCTGGCTGGAACTTAAATGATGCAAATGATTATCCTTATCTCTGTCTCACCCAGTGTGAATAAGTTGAGTACAGAAATCCTGTATATGTTTACAGAATGTTGTATCATTGGAGCTCTTCCATAATATGTAATACATGTTTTATGCACCTTCGTGTAATCTGAAAAAATCCTGATTTCTGAAACAGATCTGGCCTGAAGGAGTTCAAATAAGGAATCAGGACCTATTCATGTCTATAAATAATTCTGAATAGAATTGGTAAGAGACATGGAAAAAGTGCTGTTGGCTTTCACAGGAGGATTGTTTCATTCAAGTAATAATTGAATGTTTTCTATGTGCTAAATTGTTTGCTAGGTTACAGATTACAAACATGAAAAGATAAGCTTTTTTGGCGGGGGGTGGTCTGTGGGAATAACTGTTGGGGCATTCATTGTGCAGGAGTATGCAGGAAAGTTTGAATACAGAGGTTGAAGAAACAAGGTTTGCAAGGTTTGTTGTATTGCAGATGGAAGAGAGGGAGAAACTAAATTAAGATCGTGGCAAGAATGGGGGACGCCTGGGTGGCTCAGCGGTTGGGCACCTGCCTCAGGCTCAGGGTGTGATCCTGGAGTCCCGAGATCGAGTCTCACATCAGGCTCCCTGCGTGGAGCCTACTTCTCTCTCTGCCCCTGTCTCTGCCTCTCTTTCTCTCTGTGTCTCTCATGAATAAATAAATAAAATCTTAAAAAAGAAAAAAAGATCATGGCAAGAATGGAGAGAGGAGGGTCTATGTGGATTATGGCTAAGAATTGACTACCTTGGCTACTGATGATGTCTGAAAAACAAGAGGAATGAGAATGGATCAAAATGAATGCTGAAGCTTGGAGCCTGTGTGGCTAGGGACGCTGACGCCATGGGCAGAAATGTGGAACATTGGCAAGGAGGGGGTTTAGGGAGAAGGTGATAAGCCAGGGCTTACCTATAGCTGACCAAGACGTGGACTCGAGTGTGGGAATGGTGGGCCTGGAATGTGGGGTAGACTCTCAGCTGGGCAGAGACTTGGAAATTGTGCTCAGAGAAATGGTAGTTTGAACTTAGGGTATTAGCTTTGCTGCTGTGCTTCATCTTCTGCAGGAAGAAAATAGAGGGGAAATCCTTGTTGATCCTGCAAGAGTATCTGCTCTCAGCTAATGGCTCCAGCATTTCCATTTGTCTCTAAATAAAGTGAGCATCTTAGAATATGGCCCATGACTCTTAAATATGCAATTTATTGTAACTCTAGGCATGAATATTACCGTGTCTCCAAGTAAGAACCTATTTGTTGTTTGATTGTATCAAATGGCTGTAAAAGAGCCATACAGCTGAAACTTTTGATAAAGACAGACTTATTTTCATGTAGTAATGACACAGTGCTGCTGAGTAAAAACATGTTTCATTTTCTTTTGGATGATAGGTTTAAGCTGGTTGGCATTGAACAATTTGGTTGTTTTTCCCCCTAACAGGAATTTTGTTTCTTTTTGTGAATTTGTAGTCTTTTCCATTATAGGAACATAACTGGAATTGGCACTTACAGAGCAAGGTTATAGACATACTATGCATTATTGCTTGAATATTGCTAGTTAAGTAATGAAGTTATTTGGGCTTAAAAAATAAATACTGAAATTAATTGTACAGCCAAGTCTACATATTTGGACCAGACCCTGGATGAAGATGTCTTTAAATACAGAGGTCATTTGTTTTGGATCTTGGGATTTGCCAGAATGTGAAAGGATATATACAGATTTGGCAACGGGCATTCTTTTAAGAGCAGAATACATTCATCCTGGCACCATTTGGTCATTAGAACCTGTTATTAGCTCCTGGGTCTCTGCTCATCTTCCAGTGCTCAAAGCACTTCACCTTTCAGGGTTTCTCAGCTGTGATATAAACCAAATCTGAAGGACGCTGCTTCCATGTTTTGGATTGGGATCCAAAAGCATTTCAGGGGTTCACAGAAGAGACTTGAAAGATGACCTTTGGAAAGAAATGTGAGGTCTAGTCAAGGGTGGGGGCCTGTGTGTTGGGGTGGTGTCTACTTGAGGTCAGTTCCCTTGGTGGCAATGGTGGTGGCCGCTTCCCCTGTTACAGCATAGCCCCTGACTTGCTCACCTGTGTGTTCACACAAGAGATCACTTCACACTCTCAGGGCTTTCCATCTTGCCATGGGTATTACTCATCTTAATAACTTCTTTTTGTAGTTTTTCATTTTGAAATGATTTTAGACTTAGGGGAAAAGTCGCAAGAGCACCAAGAACTTGTATCTGTCCTTCATCCATTTTCTCGAAGTTATTATTTTATTCTATATTCTTTACTGATTTCATCATATACTTTATGATCATTTTTCTGAAGCATTTGAGAGTAACTTGTAGCTACGATGTCTCTTTATCCCCAGATACTCCACTAGTGTCTCCATTCTGTTATCTATTTGTAGAACCATTATCAATATCAGGAAAGAAATATTGATGCAGTATTATTTAATCAACAGACCTTATTATTTCACCAGGTGTCCCATTAATGTCCTTTAGAGCCAAAGTATGCTAATGGTAATAATAATAATAATAATAATAATAATAAAAATGAGGAAAGAAAAAACTGCCTGGGGCCCAGTTTGGGATCAGATAATGCATTTTGTCCTTTGGTCTCATTAGCTGGTTAATCCGGATAAATTCCTCATTCTGTTCTTGCTTTTTGGGACTTTGACATATTTGAAGAGTTGAGCCCAGATATTTTATAGACTGTTCCACACTTTGTATTTATTTAATGTTTCCTCATGATTGTTAGATTGAGTTTGAGTTTTTGGCAGAACGGCACAAAAGTATCACATTGTCCTTCGTGGTGTGATTTAAAAGAAATCCCTATTTTTAACTTAAGTTTTCCTTTTGTTGTTGTTATTATTATTTTTTTTAATAGAAGTACTTCCTCTTTGTGCTTTCCTAATCATCCATTAACAAGTAATTTCTAGGGTGCCTAGGTGGCTCAGTCCGTTAAGCCTCTGCCTTCAGCTCAGGGCATGATCCCAGGGTCCTGGGATCAAGCCTTGTGTCAGGCTCCCTGCTCAGATGGGAGCCTGCTTCTGCTTCTCCCTGTAGCTAATCCTGCTTGTGAGCTCGTGCGCGCTCTCTCTCTCTCTCTCTGTCAAATGAATGAATGAATGAATGAATGAATGAATGAATAAGATTAAAAAAAACCCAAAACAGTAGTTTCTATGTACTTTCTCTTTAAGGAAGCATAGAGGATATAAACACAAGGCATTCTTGTTCCAGCAAAGGCTTTATCGTCTCAAGGGAAGGAGGCATCAATAAAAGTAACTGTTTTTTCCTCCTGTAGCCCTTTCTGCTTTCTAAGGTACCTATAGCCCATGACTGTCACAGAGATCCCCAAATGTCCAGATGCCCTGTTCTCATCTAACGCCTGTTCCCCACTAAATGCTTTAAAGTACAACTGAAATTTTTTATGGACTCTTTCAGAGCCTTAATGATTGTACGAATACAGAGATAACATCATTCATAAAGCTTTTAAAATAATTTTGACCAGTAAAAGAAAATACATACAATCTGTTTCTTCATTTCAGAAAGATTAGCCATGACTTTACCAGTGTCTATAAACTCACAGTGATGGCAGCAGATGATGAGTCTCTGTACCAGCCTTGTTGTAGACCATGACCTGAGCTACCATGGACATGGAAGTTCCACTCCTTTTTCCCCACTTCCTTTTCTTAGCCCTCTTTTCTGTCATTAACTCTAATCAACTAGCTTTCCATGGAAGACAATTTTACTGCCTTGCAGGAGTCATGGTTGTGAATCCACATGTAGAAGCAGGAGGAGTGAGAGGGCAGGTAGACAGCAAAGAACGCTCATTAGCTCAGACTCACTCCCACACGTGAACATTAAGAGGTGTGCAGTCCACTTTCATTCCTTGGCAGGTGCTGTGGATTCTAGATTTACTTGTAAAGAAGTCAAATCATTAAAGTTGTCTGTGGCACTCCAGATGTTTGCTTTTTAGAGTTTTTAGAGTATTTCCTTCCTGCCTTCCTTTGCGTCCCCACTCTTCTCGACTTCCTTTTTTTTCTTTCTTTCAACTATATAAGCAATACATGAAAACAAGTGTAGTAGGTAAGTGCCAGTAAGAACAGAGCCTTTGCTGTTCATGCCTGACTTTTAGTACCTTGTGTATTGTCTGACACCATAGTAGAAACTCTGCAGTGAAGTGAGTAAATGAAATGTACAAAGCCAAAACTTCTTCTCCTTCCTAAGGTAACTATTATCATCAGGCTACTGTTTTACATGACTTGGCAAAATTATGTTCCTTCAAAGAGTGGGAGAGATTTAATTTTCTTTCTGGAGCAAGTCTTGGCTAAGCAGCGTGTAATTCATCTATGTGGGTTTTCCTCACACATGTGTAGCTTCTTCCTTGGCCCTCAACTGGGAGTTCTCTACACATGCTCAGGGACAGCGATGAGATTGTAGCTCCTTTGCTGTAGCCAGAGAGAGAGAGTCTTCCAGTGGCTGACCCTGGGGGAGTAGGTGTGACAGTTAAAACTTTGTAACATGTAGCTTGGGCATCTAGCTCTATAAATGATACAGAGAGAGTCATAACGGTGATTTTTCCTTTTTTTTTTTTTTTTTTTTGAAGGTGATTTTTCATAGTTTACTCAACCTGCTTCTGGGATACTTAATACTTCTGTCAAAAACAGTTAAGGGAAAAGAAACTAATTTTAATGTTTACTTGTAATAATTAAAGCAATAAATATTTTATCAACCATAAGTGTAACAAACTAATTAGAGCATTTTTACCAATCTGTTTTGACTGTCTTGCTATCCATGACAGAACTTTTGATGAAGGCAGGTATTTGAAAGGTGACTAGATTGTGTATTTCTTTCCCTCAACCCAGCCAACATTCATCTGTTTTAAAATTCAGCTTCTGGGGCGCCTGGGTGGCTCCGTTGGTTGAACACCCAACTCTTGATTTCAGTTCAGGTCACGATCTCAGGGTCATGATCACACCCACCCCTTGCTCTCATGCTCTCGCTCTCTACAAATAAATAAAATAAAATAAAATTAAAAAAAATTGAGCTTTCATCCTTTGTTGACTTTCATGACTTTGTTGACTGTATTTGAACCTAAAAGCCTTAACCATATAACCTCCAACAACTTAACTTCCTTATATTATTCTACGTTAATTAACTTTTAAAATATCTCTGTTGAAAAAACTTCTTTACTAAGGTGAAACTATTAAACTCTTTTTTTTTTTTTTTAAATTATCTCTACACCCAATGTGGGGCTTGAACTCACGACCTTGAGAGTAAGAGTCGCATGTTCCCCCGACTGAGGCAGCCAGGTGCCCTTGGTCTGACTGTTTTGAAAAACTTCTTTATAAAAAAGACATTCTGAAAAATAAAGGATTTTCTAAATTTTTCTAAATGACAGGTAACTTATGTAGAAAACACCACTGAACTTGGAAACTATAAACATTTTAGCACTTTGGCTGGCTTATTTTACTCTCCTATTGTGCAGAAAAAAATAATACACATTTCTCTCTTCCTGCTTTTGACAGCTATTGACCTAAAAAGTGGTTTTGGAAAAGTGTATCAAGGTCCTGCCAAAGGCCCTGCTGATGCAACCTTCACACTTTCAGATGAAGATTTCATGGATGTGGTCTTGGGCAAGCTTGACCCTCAGAAGGTAATGTCCTTACGGTGCCCATTCATCATCATTGCTTCCTTTTTGACTGTGTGGCTTTTAGCTAGCTCTAAAAATGCTGACTTACAAGACAGGTTCCTCACCACTTTGAAGAAGGCACAGGGGATATTGGTATCTGGGTTGACAGATCATATATATTTTTAGTGGAGTTCCAAAGAACTTCTTTTAAAACTGAATTTAGGGGTGAAATTCTTCAGCAAAGAGTAAAATAATCTAAAACCCACACCTAGTCCTTTCAATATCCTGTCATTAGTTCAAGGGTGAAAAATCATATATTAGTAGATCCTTTCTGAAATTTGAAATTCATTCCTGGTGTAGAAGATTAAGAACTTGTCTAACAAGCATCATTGAAAATTTGAAATAGAAGGATGGGACAGTAAGACTGATGTCTTACTTGAGATGAGACATTTAGAAGCCTTTCCGCGGAAAATAATGATGATAAGAAATGCCCTCTCTGACCATTATTAGGGAATATTGTTCTGAAGCTTTTGGCCAATATACGAATACACAAAATTAAAGAAACTGATGTAACATTTAGAATGGAGGAGACACACTTGTTACTTTTAAACCCTGAATATGTAGCTAGAAATTCCAAAAGAATCAAGTAGTAATTCTTAGAATGAAGGACTTTAAGCAAGTGGTTGAATGGTTTGTAATTATTAAAAAATGAGCTTTACACAGCAAACAAACCCAACTAGAAGCAAATGCAACTAGAAGATATCTGGAGAAAAAAAAAAAAAAAGGTGTTTGTAATCATAGCCCAAGCTACAGAATATACTAGTGACTTCCCTAACAAGGAGAGCTTGTTTGAAGACAACCATGCAACTTTACAGGGAACAGAACTATTTGAATATATGATAAAATGTATTTTTTAGGATACAAGGGCTAATTTAAAAAGAATTGCAAAGTGGTATAGTGTTAAAAGTAGGACCTTTGACATCAGATAGATCTGAGTTTGAATCTTAGCTCTGCCACTTACTCTCTAAATCTCAATCTTTAAATTTCCTATAAACATTATATTTAATATATTACTATTATTATAATATTTATTATATTAGCCTTATCAATCTCATTGATTAAAGTTAATATATAATTGTAATAATCAAAGGCTGGTTATAAATCAATCTGATAATATATATGAAGAGCTTTTAGTACACAGCTTGGCACCAGGTGACCTCAGTTGATTCCTTTTGCAGAACTCTGTTCAGCACTTACTCTTGATTCAGGTGCTTGGTATGGCTGACCAAGACAGTGCCCCAACTGTCTGAGCTTAGTTCTAGAGGGGAGTGGAAAGGAAATCTGAATTTAGGTATGAAGAAGAATAAAGCAGAGTGATGGGTTAGAGCACTGGTTGGCACACTTTTTCCGTGAAGGGTCGCCTGGTGAATATTCTCGGCTTTGTAGGCTGATGGTCTGTGCTGCACCTGCACACTTTTGCCATCGTAGAGTGAAAGCAGCAGCAGATCATAGGGAAACAAGTGAATGGGGCTGTGTCCTAGTCAAACTGCATTTGCAGAAACAGGCAGCGGATCAGTTTGGCCTGTGGGCCGCAGTTTGCCAGCCCCTGGATCAGCATGTGACAGGCTAGAGGACCTGTTTCAGATGGGGTTGTCCATAAAGGCACAACAGAGCACTGGCCACAGTGAGGGGATGAGCCCTGAGGCCAAGAAACCAAGTGTGGAGGCCCGAGGAGGTGGGCATACTGGAACACTGTGATGGTGGGGAGGTGGGTAAATGAACGGAGAGGACAATGCAGGAGGTGATGGGAGATGTAGGAAGGACTAGTCTGCTTGGGACCTTCGGGTGTCAACAGGAGTTCAGACCTCACTTGAGACAGAAGGCCACGAGCTGTGGTGTGAGTTAAAGGTCATTCTGGCTGCCGAGTGGAAAATTGACTTCAAGGCAGAGTGTGGGTAATTGAGAGTTCTTTAGATATGCTGTATTTGAGATGCCTAAATATAAAGATTAAATGTAGGATAAGGGAAACAGTTTTATATTTGCCAGTAATATGAGACCTTTGGGATGGTGGGGGGGAGGGTGGTGAATGGATTATTTAGTGAAAGGCACTGGGCAGTTGTGTAGGAAATGGTAGTGCTTTCCTCATTTCACATCCCTAAGTCACTACCAGACAGACTGGAATTAAATGTAAAAACTTGATGAAAACCTGGGTATTTATTATTCTTAATTGAGAACTTCTAATTAATATCAGAGTTTTTCCAAAGTCATTTGGCTCTGTTTCCTTCTCCCCAACCTCAGGAGAAGTCTCATATCATCAGTCATCAGAGACCTTATGTCCTAGAGTATGTGGTCTTTTCCTCTCTGCCACCAATGCTTGTCCGCCTTAGTGGCTTCTTCATCTTCCTGGTAATAGTTTCTCCCACAAGTGACTCATAATTCATTGTCTCACTTCTGATGATCGGTTACGCCTTTCCCAGATCTGCTTTAACAGTAATTAGCAGCATAAAGTGTACACTTTAGAAAACATCACTGTCTCCCAGCAGCCTCAGCCATCGTTCTGTTAACTTGTCCTATTGTCCCTGCTCCTGCCCTGAAGCTTCCCAGAGGCCTCCCATTTGTCCACACAGCCGCATTGTGTAGCATTAGTCCCTTCTGTCTTGGCTTCTCCCCCAGTCACATTCCATGGTCTGCTCTCATCACCACCCCTGACGGTACTCTCACCTCCCTTCTGTCTCTCATCCCACTTGACTAAAAGACTCCACCATTTTAACCCCACTCTCTGCCATCTTTATACCCATCCCTGAGTAGGTGAACAGAGTGAAGAGCCGCCCAGCCGACACATTGGCTTTCAGAGAAGTTCCTGATCCCAAGCCTCACACAGTCTCTGCACTGTCCAGCAGCCTGACTCTGATTCCCTGGCCAGCTTCCGGTCCTGTTGTCTGCGACGACTCTTTTGTACTTGTCTTCTCAAAGCACCTACATGCCTGCCTCTCTTTCCTTTTCCACCGATGGCCTTTCTTGCTTCATTGGGAAGAAAAGGTTTTCAGATGAAAAATTTTCAGAGAGCAGATATGTCCCCTCTCTTCCTTTTCCCTCCCATTACGTGAAGAGTGTCTGCCTCTTCTCGTCAGAGACTGGTCTCTTCTGTTCTGGTCACTAGTGCTTTTCTACTCCTCTCCTTTCTTTCCCAGTCTCTCCTGTTCCACTGCGCCAGTCTCTCACAGCCACAGGCAAGCCAAAATCTGGATTTTTTTTAAAGATTTTATTTATTTATTTGAAAGAGAGAGAGAGAGAGAGAGCAGAAGCAGGGGGAGCAGCAGAGGAGGAGGGAGAAGCAGACTCCCTGCTGAGCAGGGAGTCCGATGTGGGGCTCCATCCCGGGACCCTGAGATCATGACCTGAACCGAAGGCAGACACTTAACCAGTTGAGCCACCCAGGCACCCCTAACATTCTTTTTTTTTTTCTTTTTTAAACATTTTATTTATTTATTCATGAGAGACACAGAAAGAGAGAGGCAGAGACACACTCAGAGGGAGAAGCAGGCTCCATGCAGGAAGCCTGATGTGGGACTTGATCCCGGGACTCTGGGATCATGCCCCAAGCCAAAGGCAGATGCTCAACTGCTGAGCCACCCAAGCGTCCTAACCCTAACATTTTGATGTTAAAACCAACACTCTCTTTGGGTGTTCAATCCCCATCCACCATATCATATCATATTTAAAAAGTGTTAAAAAGAAACTAAGTGAAGTTGGTTTTAAGAATGTGTTTTATTGAACCCAGTACAGCCAATTATCATTTCAACCTGTAATCAGTATAAAAGTATCAGTGAGATATTCCAACTCAGTCCAGTGTATATTTTGCACTTTCCAATGCTTTTCAGCCAGGGCTACTCTCATTTCACATGCTTGGTGGCCATATGTGCCAGTGGCCCCTTTGGTGGGCAGCACAGGCTTAAACGTTCAGTCTTGGCTTAGCATTTCTGCTGCCTCCTATGTGACTTCCACATCCATCACACAACAGATACTGTTCCTATTGGAGGTCACCGGTGACTTCTGTTTTACCAAATCCAGTAATTATTTCTGTGTCTTACTCAGCGTTTGAGTTGCATTCAACTCAATTAATCACCAACTTTTTGAAATAATTTCACTCCTTGGCTTTCCTGATACCGTATTCTCCTGTTTTGTGTCTGCCTTTGACTTTCCCTCATCTCCTTGGTGCCTCCTTCCACCCTAACCATTAGATTGGGTGCTTCATCTCAAGGCTTATTTCAGGACTATTCTCCAAATAAAGTCTTTCCCCCAAATATGTCCATCCACCCTACGGTATTTAAAGTCTTGTATGTGTTCACAACTCACAGATTTAAATGCCTGATCTTGTTGTCTCCTCCGAGTTGCATTGTGACATAAGCAGCCTTCCGCCTGACCTCTTCCAGGATGGGAAGTCCTCCTGGCATTTCTCACTGTGTCAAAGATGGAACTCGTGATTTCATTTTCTCCTCTAGTCTTTCCTGCCTCAGTAAATGGCACCATTGTCTATCTACCAAAGTTGAAATCCTTGGCAATGTAAGTAAGACTTGCCTTGTCTTCTTTCTGTACCTCTATATTGTTTTTGTTCTTAATTTTGCCTGATCTTTTTCCAGAATATACCTTACATTCATGCTCTCCTCCTCATCACTAGAGATACCACTACCATCCAAGCCTCTAGCATCTCCACTGGCTTACTGCAGCAGCTTCCCAGCTGGTTTTATTGCTTCCATCCTTGTCTCTCTACCAGGATCCAGAGTAATCCTTTAAAAAATGTAAATTAATTATAAGCAGCCCACCTGAAAACATCTGTAAGATTTCCTTTTGGACTTGGATAAAATCCAAACTATCTACCATCATGTCTTATGTTATGATTCTCTTGCCCATGTTTCTAGATTTGGCCCACACTGCTCGCCTCCCCACTTAAAATGCTGATTCCAGGGTGCCTGGGTGGCTCAGTCAGCTAAGTGTCTGCCTTTGGCTCAGGTCACGGGCTACCTCCTCACCAGGGAGACTGCTTCTCCCCCTGCTTATGATCTCTCTCTCTCTCTCTTTCTCTTTTTCTCTCTCTCTCTCACGTAAATCTTAAAGAAAAAGAAAAAAAGTGCTGATTCCATTCCCATTGTCCTTTCTCACAGTTTCTTCCCATCAGCTTTTAATTCTTCGGCGTCTATGCCTTTCCTTTTTTAGAATTTGTCCTCCCAGCTTTTTGTATATCTGGCTTCAATTCATTCAAAGTAGTTCCTTTCTGTTACAGTTTCTGAGAGCAGCCCATTTTCTCCTTCATAGAATGTATAACAGAACTAATTAGCTGTTTACATTTTATTTTTTGACTCTTCTACTATAATGCTAGCTCCCTGAGAACAGAAAGCGATATCTTTTTGCGATATCTTTTTCCTGCCTGGGATATTATCTAGTATACTTGGACCCTCACTAATACTTGAGTAGATTAAAGCAAGGATAAAAATAAAGAACATAAGCTCGACAGCAGTAGTTTAGGCTGGTGTTGAAATCGAAAACTTCAGCATGTCAGAACCCATAAGATATTCCCATGAGCCTGGAGGAAATAACAAAATGATGATACACAGTGTAGTGGTATCGATAACCTCTGCAAAATTCTGGAAAGCACTAAATACAAAAAAGGAGGCAAAAGATAGGAACCAGTAATCAGTAAAGAAATAGAAATGACTCACATGCATAAGAACAACTGATTTTCCCCAGTATCCACAAAATGCAAATTAAAGGATGTCATCTTGCCTCAAATTTTCAAAGATTATGTTAAAGTTGGGATAAGAGAATTCACATGTAGCTGCAGGGATGTCAATTTGAAATAGTCTTTCTGGAAAGCGCTGTGGCAGAGGTTCAGACTTCCTTTATGGCAACATAAAGTCCCAGTACTTTTTGCTTTGGCACTCCCAGGCCTGAAGAAATACCCAGCAGTCCATTTTATGAAGTAATTAGGTCCCAACCGGAGTTGTCCTTGACTGCTGTCCTCGAAAGTTTTAAGCATTCCTTCCTGTGCTTGTGAATTTGCTGCACAGCCGCTGTATGTAGTTTGGAAGCTGGTGGTACAGAAACATGGTCAGGAACCTGAGTTAAGAAATGGCACGATTCAGTAGTTTCTCCTTGAGAACTCTGTCTGAAGGACATAGGTAGGAATGCAGGTCTACGTATAACATTCTTGTGCTCCATGGCAACTGTCACAGGTTGGTTTGGGATATTTACTTCAGGGAGTTAGGTGTTTGTATTTCAGGTTGCACATCCATGTCCAAGTTGGTCCAGAGCAGGCAGGTGTCCGTACTGAGTCCCCGGCAGCGTTGTGGAGCACAGTGTCTGTAACTGCACAACGAAAGTAGTCATGGTCTCCCATTAGAAACACCGAGCACTTGATCCCAATGAAATGAGCTCTCATTTATTTTTGCTGTGGTGAGAAGTTCAAATGGCATTTACTTCTCCTCTGGTTCATGAGGATTTGCTTCTAAGATTAAGCTGCTGCTCGTTGATAATTGGGAGGCAGCGTTGAGAGGATGAGGCCTGGCCTCTCCTGCTTGCTGGCTCTGTCGCCTGGAGCAGGTTCGGAAAGCTCTCGGACCTGAAGTTTTCTCCTCTGTCCACTGGCAGTGAATACATAGGGCCACTTCAGGCTGATGGCTGCGATTCTCCAGTGACATATCTGTAGGGCTTCTTTGTAGTGGTAAGTAGTGTTAGTAATGACTGTTACTGTTTTTTCAGTCTCTCTAAAAATCTAGGGACTTTTTTTCACTTCAAATTCCATATACTATGTTCTCCGTTAACTATGTAAACTGTGATGGTTTTGTTTTGTTGTTTTTGGTTTTTTTGTTTGTTTGTTTTTTGGTTTTTTTGAGAGGGAAGTTGATACTGTGGGTGAACTTAAGCATCTTGTACGAGTTTCTGTGTCAGGTAGGGCACAGAGGTGATTCTGGGGTTTGTAGTGTTTGAATGTGCCAGCCTTGGCTTGGTAATAATGATGAGTCTAACATGCCATATGTCAAATGCTAAGCCAGGCCCTTGACACACTAATTCGTTTAGCTTTAGGATCAGAGCTGCATTATTTAGGTACGTTAGTCATGCCTCTTGGAGATGGGGAAGCTGGAGCTCCGGGTAGCTAAGGAATTTGTCCCAGGTCACTTTGCTTGTTAGTGGCAGAGCCTGGATTTTATTTTATTTTATTTTATTTTATTTTATTTTATTTTATTTTATTTATTTTATTTTATTATTTCATTTCATTTATTTTATTTTATTTTTATTTATCTATTTTATTTTTTAAAAGATTTTATTTATTTATTAATGAGACACAGAGAGAGAAAGAGAGGCAGAGACACAGGCAGAAGGAGAAGCAGGCTCCATGCAGGGAGCCTGACGTGGGACTCCACCCCGGGTCTCCAGGATCACACCCTGGGCTGCAGGCAGGCGCCAAACCGCTGAGCCACCCAGGCCGCCGGAGCCTGGATTTTAACACAGCCCTTCTGAGGCTACAGCACAGGGTCTACTCACTCCTTTGTTATATGACCTTGTTTTGCCATTACGTGGCTTTCTATCTCATGAAGGTGTCATGAATATTTTTATTGTTAGGAACACAGCAAAGCCTTTTATTCATAGGATCTGAAATTCACATTTAAGAACACAGACTGACATCCAAATGTGGGTTGAAGCAGAACTCACAAGTCTTGTCTGTTCAGACAAATTATTCTGTGGTTTTCCAAAATACGCAAGGTATCTTTTTTTTTTCTTAGAAATCTAGAAACACTGGTGCTATCTATAATCATTAAAGTGTTGTTGCTATATAAAAGTCCCGTTGGGGCACCCCCGGTGGCACAGCGGTTTAAGTGCCGCCTGCAGCCCGGGGTCTGATCCTGGAGACCCAGGATCGAGTCCTGCGTTGGGCTCCCTGCATGGAGCCCACTTCTCCCTCTGCCTGTGTCCCTGCCTCTCAGTCTCTCTCTCTCTCTCTCTCTCTGAATAAATAAATTTATAAAAAAAAAACTTAAAAAAAAAAAAGCCCCGTTGGTTGTCCAGAGTTATTATCTCAATTGTGTTCATTGTTACCAATGATCTTTTTAAAAAGGAAGTGAAATGTAACTTGATAAAGTCTGGCACTCTTTTTTTCTTCTCTCCTTTCTAGGCATTCTTTAGTGGAAGACTGAAGGCCAGAGGGAACATCATGCTGAGCCAGAAGCTTCAGATGATTCTTAAAGACTATGCCAAGCTCTAACGGACGCACTACATTATGAATAAGAATAGAAAAGTGACATAACTCTCTTCACCCAGATATGCAAAACTGATGAAGCAAAAGCGATCAAAACTTAAGATACAGGGAAAGTTGCTTACCCTTTTCAGATTTTAGATGACTTTTCAGATTTTAATTTTTTACTAATTTTTCAGGTTATCCTTCTTTTTACAAGGAACTGCAGGTGATAACCTTTCTGTTCTTAGAGCTCTATCTTCGTAATAAAAAGTTTTCACTCAAGCCTTTAGAATTGTGACAGCATTTATAAGTGGAAAGGAATATTAGATCAGGAAAGACCCCTTTGATGTCCTATACACTGTTCTGTTATTTTCTGTTCTCTATCTTATCGATAGAGAAGATAATTTTAACATGAATTGTTACTTGTATTCACTTGCTGTTAATACTTTACTATATTCTGCTTTAAAGCAGGAGAAAGGTCTTTATGTTCCCAAATAGTTTTCTTCTCTCCTCTGTTTTGCTGGAAATCCTTTATTTTCAAATAATGCCTGTAAATACCATCATGGGGTTTTCTTGCTTAATCAGTAATCGCGAATCATAAAGATGTTAGTAGCAAGTACCATCATACTCATATTTCTTCTCCATGTAGCTCAGGTGATGTGTGCTGAGGAGATGCCCTTTGACCCGTTGGCTGCAGGGGTGACCCGCAAGTGAGATGCTGAGGTCAGGGCTGGAGTGCATGCCACTCATAGAGCATAGCCAAGGGGGATGTGTGTGTGGGGCTGTTATAGGCTCAGTTCCCTGGGAGACAGACTTTAGAGATCTTTGGTCAGGAACTGTATCTGGAGTTGTTCTTGGGATTAATGCCTAGGGAGAGTGGTGGTAAACAGAGGAGGCAGGGGGAGAAGTTTGACTGTGGTGCACTCACCACAAGGCCTCAGCCGATCCTCTGGGGATGGCCCAGCATCTGCCCTGAGTTAACTAGTCACTGATTGCGGCCTGTCCTGCCAAGGTACCATGACGTGGGGCAGCACAGCAGGGTAGGTCCTGGAGTGTGCTCACTCACTTTGATGGCTTGTTCAGCAGCTGAGAGACTGTCTTTGGTCCTGAATAGGGCTTCTGGGAGGGTGGCCTGGTGCCTCACATCAGGGAACAAGACTAGGGAACCAGAACTCAGGGATCAAAGGAAATGGTCTCAGGAATGTGAAATTGAATTGGAATATTTACACAGTGGTGGAACATAGAGGAAAGCCTTAATACACTCTTGCTGACTTAACGAATGAGCAGGTTATAGTGGAAGGCAGAGAAGAAAAGTTGTGCATTTGTCAATTATGCCTTATCCTCATGGTCTCTGTATGGTATTCTAAAATTAGTTGTAATGTAGAGTGATTTATTGTTGTACCAACTGAATTTGTTTTTAAAGTAGCAGCCTTTTAACATTGGTCTTCTATAATAGCTGTTGTTCCTGTTGAGCTTGGAAATAGAAATTGCGTATCAAAATGAATCAAATGCCACACACGAATAAAAGTGTTGAATATATACCCTGGATGCTTAAAACATATTAAGAAAGAGGTATTTTCATTATCTCACTAACCTATCTCTGTCAGTCTGAAAGGCCAGAGAGCTACTGGTGTCCAGATTTAGCGGCTGCTTCTTACTACTCTTCATTCTCCTTCATATTTTCTATAATTTCAATATTGTTGATCGCACCATGCTGCTTAATTCTTTTCTCCCTTTTCATCCTCCAATGAGAAACATACTTCTTACTGAACCTGTGGGTTAATCACCCTGTCTCCTACTTGTCTCTTTTATAACTTTTTCTGTCTCTCTCACTTTTCAGGATTATCGATTAAACAAAGTTTCAGTCCTCCTCACTTTTTGCTAGACATTTTCTTCCTGGATTGGTTTCGTCCAGTTTCTTATCTTCAGCCATCACCTGAGTGCTGGTTGCTCTGAATCTGGACCTTAGCCCTGAGCCCTCCATAATGCCCCTCTGCCCCTCGACAGCTCCAAATCATTACAGGATTGTTGTCCTCTGGTTCCCGTGCACACATGTCCAAGGTAAACGCGTGATCTTCCCCTCCACTCCTGAATGCGTATGTATCCTTATTGCCTTAGTTAAGGACATCACCTTTTGTGGAGGCCAACCAAGAAACCAATTCACATTTGACTTTTCTTGTCCTCACTCACCTCCCCCCCCATCTAATTTTTCCCTTCCACCTCCTGAATATTCCAGGGTTTTCCAGCTGCTACTACCCAGGTGTGCTCTCATAGTGGATAGCTCATTGTAGCAGCTTTCTAGCTGGTCCCAGTTTTTCACAACCCACCTCCCACCTACCAGAAGGACCTTACTAGTCTAGTATATACACCTGAATGAATTTGTGACTTCCCAGCTTAGAAAACTGTGAGAGTTCCTACTTGGTCACCTTCCCATCAGGCCCTGGCATGGTTCCATGTTCCATCAGTTGGAATTCTTGCGGTGGCAAATAAGAAAACCAGTTCAAACTGGCTTAACACAACTTTCCTGCATAACTGAAGAAACATCTAGAAAGGTAGGACTGTGTTTGAAGAGGCTTAATCAAGCATTTCACTGTTCCTTGTCATCTCCCTGGCTACTTGATATGCAAGCTCCATATGGTACCCTCCCTGGCAAATACAGGTCATTCCTGTCTGGTTACAAGAAGGCAACCAACAGGTCCAGCTCCAGAGTCCCATTCCAAGGGAGCCAGCAGAATGAAGAGCATGGGATTCTCAAAAGCCTCAGTGAAGGCCTCTCATCTAGTCTCACTAGCTGAGCTTGAGTTAGAAGGCGATCCTTGAGTCATCACTATAGAGATACTGGATATGCTGATTGGCCTGTGTCTATCAGGGCCCAAATGTATAGCTAAGTCTAGTATGTGGGGGGGAGGGTCCCTCAGACTCCCTGATTTTGATGATTTGCTGGGAGGACTCATAAGACTCAGCATATAGTCATAATCGTGACTATGATTTATTATATCGAAATGATACCAAGCAAAATCAGAAAACGAAAAGATCGCATGGAGTGAGGCCCATAGGAAATCAGGTACAAACTTTCAAGACATCTTGTCCCATAGAGTCACACAGGACATGCTTAACTCCCCCAGCATCAAATCCTGACAACACGTATAAAATGTCTACGAAGACTCAGTGTCTAGGGTTTTAATTGAGAGGCTGTTCACACAGGCTTCTCTTGCCAGAGCACATACCAAAATTCCAGACTCCTAGAAGGAAAGCAGGTATTTAGCATAAACCCCATTGGTACAGTTTGGGTACAGGGAGCCACCCTCCGTGAGAGAATGGGAGGAATCCTGAAATTTAAGTTCCTAAATGCCAGCCGAGGGCCAACCTTGCAAGCATACCTTTCTAAGAACTACAGTCCCAGGGCTGCCCTGTTAGCTCTTCTGTGTAGGGTCAGTCCCATCCAAGCCACATGGCCTGAGAGCTAATATGATTTCCAAGGAAATCGAGAATATGGGGTACCCAAATCACAGTGGTCTAACCCAAAGGTTCCTTAGCTCTTATCTCTCCCAGCTTGCTTTTTTGAACCTCCTCATCTGATAAACTCCATTCTTAGACCTCCCAAGTGTGCCTCTGCATGGAGCTGTTCCTAACAAGGCCAGAACAATCTCTGACTTCTCACAGAACTTGGTTTGTCTATTTTACAGCAAACAGCCTGAGAAAGCATATTTTTATATTGGACAGAAATAGATTGAGGAATAATGTATTTAATAATACCACCCCAAGAAAAAGTTTACCCTTTAGGCCAACAAATAGAGCAGCAAAATTAAATGGTAAGCCAGTTCCACGGAGAAATTCTGACGTTGAAAAACCTCAAAACCAGAAAGTTACAGAGAGTGATTTTCTGAAGAGCAGAGCATTTTAGGTCAGTGTGGACTAAGCTATAAGGGGAGAGGAAAGAAGAAAACTTTAAAAAAACCCATGAATAGGCAAAAAAGAAAAATTTCAAGCCTTGGCTAAAAATGTAGATTCATATTACACATTTATGCAGTATATTGGCTTGAAGTTGCCTAGTAATGACCTCTAGATATCAGGGTTACCATAGCTTAAGAAATGAAAAAAAAGATACCTGAGAAGATAAAAATATCAAGGTATTAAAGTTGAAAATTTACACAGAAAAACTGTAGAGCCTTGTCCAGAATCCATCTTTTTTCTTTTTTAATATTTTATTTATTTGAGAGAGAGTAGAGCACAAGCAGGGGAGAGGGAGAAAAGCAGGCTCCATGCTGAGCAGGGAACCCAATGTGAGACCCGATCCCAGGACCTCTGGACCATGACCTGAGCTGAAGGCAGATGCTTAACCAACTGAGCCCCCCCAGGCAGCCCAAAACCCATCTTTTAGGGAGCTTAGCTACATAACTTGTTGAACAGCTGGCAAGAATAACAAAATAGACAAATAGATCTGTGTGTTCTGGGGGCAGCATTGACTGGGGGGAAGCTTCTGGAGGAAGCACAGAAGAAGACTGTAAAATTGAAGCAGAAAAACACTAGAAAGTACCACATCACCTGAGTGTTTGAAGGGAGGTTAAGCACCTCTGTATTCCTTCATATCTTTTGACATTACAGGTGTGTCAGTTAAAAACAATGGTGGGTTAAATTGGGGTTCCAGGGGCACCTGGGTTGCTCAGTGGGTTGAGTGTCTGCCTTTGGCTCAGGTTGTGGTCCTGGTCCAGGGATTGAGTCCCACATCAGGCTCCCTGTGAAGAGCCTGCTTCTCCCTCTGCCTGTGTCTCTGCCTCTCCCTGTGTGTCTCTTATGAATAAATAAAATCTTAAATAAACTGGGGTTCCACAAACATGTTCTTTAAACCACCAGATAATAAATATTTTAGGCTTTGGCCTATAGAATGGGTCCTGGGGATAGTTGTTGAGTGCCAGTTAAGAAAACATTAGCTAGGGACACCTGGGTAGTTCAGTGGTCGAGCGTCTGCCTTTGGTTCAGTCATGATCTCAGGGTCCTGGGATCGAGTCCCACATCGGGCTCCCCTCAGGGAGCCTGCTTCTTCCTCTGCCTGGGTCTCTGCCTCTCTCTGTGTGTCACTCATGAATAAATAAAATCTTAAAAAAAAAAAAAAAAAGAAACGAAAAGAAAAGATTAGCTAAGGAGTGCCCTGTGGCTCAGTTGGTTAAGCAGCTGACTCCTGATTTCAGCTCAGGTCATGATCTCAGGGTCATGAGATTGAGCCCTGCATTGGGCTATGAGCTGGGTATGGAATCTGCTTAAGATTCTCTCTCCCTCTCCTGCCCCTTCTTCCCCCACCCCCTCATGCTCTCTTTTTCTAAAACAAAAACAAACCAATATTTACATCTGTCATCCTTATTTGCTGTAAACACTTAGGATAGTATTCAAGACACCCTGCCACCTGCCACTCCCACCTTCAGGACAGTTAAATCTTCCTGGCACATGCCATTACCAGCTCTTCTTGCCTGAGCTGTGCACTCCTGGTATCACGGAGGGGCACCAGCATGTACTCGGCTTTCCAAATCAGCAACCCCGCTGTCACCTTGATCTTCTCTTTTTGTCCCTAGCGACTCATGCACTGCTTACACAGTGCTGTTGAAGACATTGCACTGCTTCTCACTTGTTTTCTGAGATGAAAACTTTTAGGAATGGAATTACCAGGTCAGATGGTAAGAGCAGTGTTAGGCGGGTCCGGTACAGCAGGCACACACCCTGTGTGCCTGTCCCACTTTGGAAGGCAAGGCAAGGAAGGCGAGTGTCAGTGTGTCTACAATGGTGAGTTTTATCATAAAACCCCCAAAGTTATGGCCTTACACACATAAGTGCCTTCTGACTGCAACAGTTCTTTCTCTCCTAGCATTACTACATCTTGTATCGCGAAGCAAGAAAAAAGCAATTGAAGCAATAAGATTTAGCTATCTGCTTCAAATGAGGTGGTTGTGGGAGGAAATGAGATAAGAGGTATGCCCTTTGTGGCTGGGGACAGATGATGCTGGACCAGGGGGAGCGGGCCCCTGTTTCCATCTGGGAATGGGTACATTATCAGAACATACAGTCCCGGTCACAGACTGTGACCATAAGAAAACAAGCAGTGCTGTGTGTTTAAGTGATGCCAATCTTTGGCTTTTTAAAATAATCACCATAAGCTGGGCCCAGTGGCAACAAAGCCTCAGTCATCCAAAGTGAGCCACCATCTTCATGCATGTCCAAGGGAGGACACATGGCGAGTGAGAGTAGAGTTTTGGCTGGGAGATTAGAGGTTGGGCTGTTGGCACCATGACCTTCTCACCTGCTGTCACCCTATAAATAATAGGCCTCTCTTTTTATCCTGCCTAGTTCAGAGTTCTCAATTTTATTGGCCTGTGGAGGTAAGTGAGGACACACTGGAATAAATCATTTCCCCTCACTCTTCACCCATCAGCTCAGTGTCGGAGCACTGCCAGCAAGATGGTCTGTGTTACATATGACCATGTTGATTCCCAAAGAACAATTTTCAAGACCATTAATGGATGGATCTTCAGTCAAGGAGTATCCATTGG